AATGCGATTTGGACGGACACTTTGCCCCGGAGCCAACCTCTTACTTCCTTTTTTCGCACGAAATGAGGGTCGATCGGCAAAAACTGAGGTAAAATTGCGATTTGACTTGTCCTGGAGCAACCCTTTCATACGAAATGAGGGTCGATCGGCAAAAACCAGGTGAGGAGTTGGTCGGAATGCTGCGATCCTCTGCACGCAATAGGTAAATTAAAAGATTGCAATTTTTCCTGTGCCGGAGCAACCGTTTCGCACGAAATGAGGGTCGATCGGTAGAAACTGAGGTAAAATTGCGATTTTTCCTGTGCCGGAGCAACCCTTTCGTCTGTGTGTAAAAGCGTCTGTGTGTAAAAGCTTCTGTGTGTAAAAGCGTCTCTGTGTGTAAAAGTCTCTGTGTGTAAAAGCGTCTGTGTGTAAAAGCGTCTGTGTGTAAAAGCGTCTGTGTGTAAAAGTGTCTGTGTGTAAAAGCGTCTGTGTGTAAAAGCGTCTGTGTGTCAAAGCGTCTGTGTGTAAAAGCGTCTGTGTGTAAAAGTGTTTGTGTGTAAAAGTGTTTGTGTAAAGGTGTTTGTGTGTAAAAGCCTCTGTGTGTAAATGTGTTTGTGTGTCAAAGCGTCTGTGTGTAAAAAGCGTCTGTGTGTAAAAGCGTCTGTGTGTAAATGTGTTTGTGTGTCAAAGCGTCTGTGTGTAAAAAGTGTCTGTGTGTAAAAAGCGTCTGTGTGTAAAAGTGTCTGTGTGTAAAGGCGTCTGTGTGTAAAAGGGTCTGTGTGTAAAAGCGTCTGTGTGTAAAAGCGTCTGTGTGTCAAAAGCGTTTGTGTAAAAGCGTCTGTGTGTAAAAGCTTCTGTATGTAAAAGCTTCTGTATGTAAAAGCTTCTGTCTGTAAAAGCTTCTGTGTGTAAAAGCTTCTGTGGGTAAAAGCTTTGTGTGTAAAAGCGTCTGTGTAAAAGCGTCTGTGTGTAAAAGTGTTTGCGATGCAAACTATTGTCTTGCACTTCCCACTATATATTTTGTCTTGATACTCCTCTTCTCGACTGCCTATAACACAGCTTTCATATACCGTTTCTAAAATTGCATCTCCATACTAACAAGAGAAGACCCTGCTCCTCTACGCTCTCGGGCCATCCGTCGTCTAGTTTTACAAATCATTCATTTCATTTCATTTCATTTCATGTCTTGCGCCCTGCGTGCCCGTAATGGCACCTCGGCGCAAAGTTCTTTGTAATTTACAGAGCTAGTTTGGTGAAAAAGGTGTGTGAAAATAGGCAGAAAGCCAGAATCAAAAGGGCAACGGGACAAGGATGGCAAACATAAAGATCTTCAGTTCAAAATCTCCACATCATCATCGGAATCGTCGGAAATAACAATAGCAGGAAGTGCTGGCATATTTCTCTGCTGTCTCCTCAAACGCTTACGGAAATACTTCTCAGCAGCTTTGGTCACTGACTTCAGCAATATGTTTTTCATACATTCCTTCCATATGTTCGGTATGCGGTCTTGCGTGCCCAACTCACTGCGGATATGCCACACACCTAACTAGATGTCTATATCAAACCGTTCATCATCGTTCATCATCCCTTCGCCAGGAGCGAAAGTCCAAGCAGACTCGGGCGTCTTGGCGAAAAAACAGTTTGCACCAAGCAACATGGAAAAAAAACATGGGATGCTACCATCAAACATGGGGATATCATGGGATTTAACTACTAAGCAGGGGGTAGAATGGGTTCGTCATGACCCGAAGATCAAATGACATTGGTCATTTATATAGGGAAACCTCAGTGTTAGACACATGCAAATGTCAATTTAACATGCAAATAGCATCAAATAGCCATGACGGTCACTTACCCAGCAACGAGATGCAACGAGGAGTCGGACCAGCAGTCCGGATCTTGCCGGTTGAGTTGGATGATCCCTATATCACTACCCCCGTGTTTAGGATTGGATCTATTCATTCTGCAGATCCATACGGTGGCGATTTCCCTATTTTTTGGGGGAGTAAGAGACTGGTAGACATTCCACCTGCGATCGCCCAGTCCGCCAACTTCTTCATCAAGGACCTGTCTTGATTTTGTTGCTGGCAGTGGGATAGTTTCATCCACCCGAATATGTGTGAATTGTGAACTAGCTGGCGAAGGTTCGGCTTATGAATGGGCCACGTGCAGAAGCCAAAATGGATGGACATGCTGTCCTGCTGAAAATGTGTATAACATTGTATTACCTTAGTGGGATGTTTGAGGTTTGCGAAGTTCAGTAGCCAAATGTAGCCAAACAACCGTTTCTTAGGGTGCTCAAAAAGTACGCCAGCCCCCTGCGGCTTAATGTTTGAAGTAAATGGGGATGGGTCACTGCTTAGTACTATCAACCTACATATTGTATCCTAGTGTAGTATTGTCAATTTTATGGAGATGCTTCAGGGATGTTCAGGGGGAGTGTGCTGGGGTTGTGGTTTGCATCCCAATGGAGGACAGGTGCTGGGGGTGTGAGTTTGGTTGGACCTTTGGGAAAGAGCCTGGCCATTTGGGGGGATATTTCGGCGCTTTGGCACGATGAAGGCACACAGCATTCTGAGATGTGGGTCCAAAGGTGGAAAAATATGCCAAAGAATTTCTTGCATGAAACAAAGCAACAATCCCAAAGAAGCCCCAAAATTCAGTTCTCCCCAACTACTTTTTTGCAACACGCAGAAAGATGGCGAGAAATCGGTGTTTCCAGGATGTGAACTAGATGATATTTACAGTACTTCATATGTCATATCTTTCCATTATTTCCAGCTTTCTCACTGTTCTATTTCGGGGGGTTCTATATATATATATATAGAGATCATAATGATCATATGGTGGTTTCCATAAATAGGAGGTCTCCAAAATGGATAGTTTTTAAAGATAGTTTAAAATGGAAAAACTTAATAAAGTGGATGATAACTAAGGGTACCCCCCTTTTAGGAAACCTATGGAAAGCCCCAACAAGTGACTTCAGATGTGGTCTCCCCCAGGATGAAGCTGAGATGACCGAGCTGGAAAAGGCCGCCCTGGGCTTTTTCGTCCCTTTGCCCCTTGGCCGCAACCACCTGGCCACCTTGGGGATGATTTAGCACTAGGTTTACCACATGAATGATTTTGTAAATTGGCTTCTAATGGCTGGTACTGCAAAATGCTGCGAATGTGTGTAAAGGTTATAAATGAGAGCGTAACCTTAGTGGTGACATAGCAGTTGATAGTGTTACATTACTGGTTCTTAGTGGGAAATCAATCAGCTTTGCGCATTCCGTTGTTGTTGCATTGTCTACTTGGCTGGGTGGCACATAGTTTCCAAGATGTTTCCAAGAATTTCGTTTCAGCCCTAATACGCCCAAGAAAGAAGCTATTTGACAATAGATAGATAGATAGATAGATAGATAGACAAATATACATATAATTATACATAATTATACATAATTACACATAATTATACATAATTATACATAATTATACATAATTATACATTGATATGCACATGTATGTGCACATATGTTTCTTGGATAAACATGGACGCCAAAACACGGCATCTCTAAGGTGGAACTACATGGAGGCCTGGGATTGGAACCTAGAGAGACGCTGGGGCCATGTGACCATACCAGCGTGATCATATCAGGGACGACGCACATATTACCAGGTTCCATGCCAAACCTTGGTGTTCTCCGTTCCCATTCTTGGTGTTAAGTACTACGCATTTCTCTGAAAGAGATTGGTTTTGTGTGGGTGTGCCGTTCTTGCTGTTGACCTTTCTTTGCGCTTGTTTCGCCAAAGCTGATCTAGACTGGCATGCCCCGAACACGTCATAAATTAGCACCAAAATGAAGAAAACAATCGTTTTTCATTCTTTTCTATTCTTCTTGACCCACACCCACCCATACATGTCCCCATTCTCGTAAAGACACTTTGCACTGCTAGGCAAACAAGAAGACTGTCAAGGAGGGCCGCTGCTCATTCGGCTCTTTTGTTTGGCTAGGTTAACTGTGGTCTATGGTAGGTGTATCCATAAAGTCAATGGGCTTTATAAACCAACTAGCAACAACTAGCATAAATAAAAGGCACCACCTTGTATAATATATGCAAGTTCGGTAGCGACAATCAAGGCATCAAGACGGACTTTTCTTGCTCCAACTGCAGCAAGCATCCTATCAAGAGATGGTGGCGACCAGGCAGTCCCAACGTTGGACATCCAGGATGTAGCCACGAAAAGGCAATTTGCAATCGACAGTAAATATAGTTGATTGATGTTTTTTGAAACGAACGTCTCTGAGACTCTTACATTGACTTTTGATTCAAAGCTTGCACCCTCACCCCATTTTCGCTTTGTTGCGTTTGTCGCTTGTTCACAACGGTTCCAGTCACGTGATCCAGGTATTCGATAGGACACCAGGCAAACCAATGTGACTCATCTACAGTTGTAACACAAAAGGCATGTTATTATTTGCACATCCATATGTTCTTTTCAGTTTTAATGTGTATGTTTTAACGCGAATTCTAAAGATCTACTGTAATGAGTATAAGATAGTATAAGTCTAAGATATAAGTGCGCCTTCATGTCATTTGTATGTGCGAGCCATACTACAGTTGAATACCTAAGTATATCCCATGTATGGAGCCGTTCAGTCCGTTAAGGGGCGGATAAGCTTGGTATCTCTTCCTTCGGCTCGAAGGACATTTTTCAAAAGTTCGACAGGGCGAACCATGGTTATTTAAGCACCTTCCTCAGCTTGGAAAAGGCGGAACGTGTTCCAACTGGAAAGTGACCCAAGTTGGCAAAGCCCAAAAATGTTTGGATCATTTGGGAGGCCTATACATCCATATCATCACCACCACCAGCATCATCATCATCATCATCATCATCATCATCATCAGATACTTGTATAACTTATATATTGTATACCCCACAGTTACCTATGGATTCTTGTTTGATTGGGGGCATCCTGTCATGCTCATTCATTTTCGAGATGTCCCTATCTGCGACGGCACAACTTCAGGTTTTCGTGAGCTCCGCGAGGCCGGGTGAGGAGTTTGACAGTTTGACCTGGCGCATGGTAAGGGGGTGTTTCTGGCTGGAGGAATAATCCCATCTCCCTAATACTAGATAGTAATAAGCCCATGAACCATGGTCTACTAGGGAATTTACAGATATTTGATAATTTTTGATAAGATTTGGGACCATTTCGGGGGTGTTCAATTTTAGGTCGATGATGGTCGATGGGATAACTGATGTGTATCAATCAAACTACATTCAGATTCGGTTATCCATCCGCCCGATGGGTGATCTTGCCCAAGATGCTCTTCATATTGAGCATTTTATTTGGGGTACCTAAACGGGCTAAACTAGCATAGATGTGAAAAAAACATGGTTTCCCCAGGGAAAGGATCTACAAGAATGGTGTTGTTTTCCCTGTTTTTTTCCACATCCATGTTAGTTTACCTTAGGAACCCTACAGAGCTTCAGCGTTTGAACCAGAGATTTGCCATACCTCGAGGTGGGTGAAGACTTGGGCTTCACCTGCAAATATGACAAGTTTGATCGTCCCTTGGTTGGCCGACCGGTGAACCATTCGTATTGCGGCCCGTTGGAACATGTTGGAACCTTAAAACTGCTTGGTGGTTTGGAACATGTTTTCCATATATATATATATATGTGATAATCCCAACTGACTCTGACGAACTCATATTTTTCAGAGGGGTTGAAACCATCAATACCAGGAAAAAATATGCCTTCGAGGAAAAAACAATGTGTGTGAGTGAAACTCAATTGAAGGATTTGGAGAAAAATGCGAGCGTGCGAGCAGGGATGATGATCCCAATTGACTTATCCCAGTTCTTGAGTGAGCAATAACCCCCAATACCTGCAGAGTATTCTCCAGCCGCATACCCCATGGTTGATCCCATCACCGGATCGCTGCATTTGCAAGTTGGTGGCCCCAGTGACGTTCGTTGGTTACCCTAAATCATCGTAACTATAGATCGATATGTCTACCATAACAACAGCAAATTGGAGTTATGTTTACCAACTGAACGCTTCCCAACTTAGATCATAGATGATCATAGTAACTAGTTCGATAAATATACCATAAATCCTAGTTAATTGTTGGATGTTATTTGAGTTATGTTGACCATTTTTTAGCGGTTCATTTTTCTAGGGCCCTACCTTGAGGTGCCATGATGCTGGTGGATGGCAATTTGGATGGCGCCGTGAGCCCCGAGGAATTGCAGAAGGTGTTAAACTTTGTCAAGGCGCGCGAGTTTTCTGTTGCTTTGAAGATATTCTAATCAGCAAACATTGGGATTTGAGATTATTTAACTACCTAACCCAGCCCTTCCTCGACCTAGTTTAACCTGGTCTTTACTAACGGCCATGTTTAACCTGGCTCTTGGAAGATGCTCCTTTTTATAGCTATGTTTTTAACCATTATACATACATACTTTGTCCGGCTCACATGTCATGTTGGGAAATCATGGTCAATAGATAGGTGGATAAAGAGGCAATTTGGTTCAATTCGATGCAAGTAAAATGCGCCTGGGAGCACGGGCTCTGCACAAACGTCTGCATCTTAGATCATGATGTCACCAAATACAAACATAATATGATCTCGTGAAAGTACCTACCTGAAATTTCCCACAAAATCTGGACCGTGAAAAGTCCGTGAAACGGCCGTGAAAAACCCGTGAAAAGCCACCAAAAACTTGCGCCTAAGTTTTACTCATTTGTTGTTTGGGTATTTTGTAGTCTTTTCACGGGCTTTTCATTGAAATCTTTGGAACCATTTGTCATTTCAAGCAGTCTTGGCACTTATAGACTTGAAATTGGTTGATGCGCAGCTGTTGTTGCTGAGGCTGTGGAGTGTATGTGGGGTTTGGCGGGTTTCCCCTTATATATATATATATATGTTAACATATATCCCAAGATTCCCAAGATCAACATGACCATTATATAAATTTATATAAATAAATACCATGGGTTCCGGCTGTTAGTGTAACGGCCAAGTTTAACCTGGCCTTTGGAAGGCCTGGGTAACCTGGGGATATAATGAGTATATAACCAATTTAACAACGTGTTTGTTCCGGTTGGTTTCGGTTTTTAAAATTGTGTCCAGAATCAAGCAGTAAGTTCAGAGGGGGAGAGAAGCTGCCCGGTGGTTTTCAAGGTGCCCAATTCGATAGTAGAGGCATGTAAAAACCCTGGTTTCCTGAGTTTACTGTAATTTTTGCCAATCCATTGAATGAAGAGATGCAGATGATGAAGATTTGTAGAATATACATATATATATAATATTAAGCGTATTTTTGGAATGTGGAATATATATATATATACACATATAAACACAACTAAATCAATAAATAAATCATTAAGTAGATAAATAATCAAATGCAATACATCAATAAATGAATATATAGCTATATGCGAGAGATGCGCTCCTGTTTTCAACATGTTTTGTGCACTGTCATTTACTCATCCCGCATGCTGGGCCAAGCGTGTTTCCTGCAGACCTTGACTGAAGTCTTCTACCCATTTGTCTAGAAAATTATGTGGGTGACCCCATTGGGAAATCAATTACTGTTGCCTGAAAATCATTTTACCCTCTGGTGAACTAACATAGCAATGGAAAATCACCATTGTTCATGGGAAAATCCACTATAAATGGCCATTTTCCATTGCTATGTTAGTTCACCAGAGGGTATATGATTTTATTTGTGTATTCCTAGATGCATTTTCCCTCGGGAGCTTTTAGCAGCAGACAGCACTGGTACAATTTGTGTATTCCTATTTGTTCATGCAGCACCCACGTTCCTGTTGGTTCTGGTTTAGTTTCGAATTCCAACATTTTTTTTCAGGCCAGATTGAACTGTGCACTGCAATGCTTAGTTCTCTGTGTTTTTCGTTTTTGTTTGGTGGTGGCGTGGCCGGTTGTCATAGCGCCTTTGCTGTGCAGGTGCGAATGGACATGCTTTACAAAAGGGTGCCTTGACAGCGACGTGCTGATCTTCCAAACCGTGAATTCCAGCGGTTTATGAAAGGCAGACCTGTTGGCCTTTCCACAACAGAGTAATCCAAGATATACAAGTAAACTCCAATTTCTGACAAGGCCTCAAACTTTTCGTATAAAATCATAAAACATCATAAATATATTTATAAATAAATATGCATACATAGTTGGATGCATATATACAATTATATACATTTAGATAGATAGATAGATAGGTAGATAGTTTTAGATATTTAGATATTTAGATATATAGATAGATAGATAGATAGATGGATGGATAGATAGATAGATAGATAGATAAATAGATAGTTTTAGATAGATAGTTTTAGATAGATAGTGTTAGATAGATAGTTTTAGATAGATAGTATTAGATAGATAGTTTTAGATAGATAGTTTTAGATAGATAGTTTTAGATATTTAGATCGATAGATAGATAGATAGATAGATAGGTAGATAGATAGATAGATAGATAGATAGATTTAGATAGATAGAAAACATAGATAGATAGAAAAAAATAGATATATAGAAACATAGATAGATAGAAAATCGATATATATATATATATATATAGATAGTTTTAGATAGATAGTAAGATAGATAGATAGATAGATAGATAGATAGGTAGATGGATAGATAGGTAGATAGATAGATAGATAGACATATCATACATACATATATACATACATGTTGGTACATCTATTGATTCATGGCGTTTTGAAATTGCAAACTTTAGCAATGGACCTGGGTGGTGGACATGTTCTACACTTCGCCTACTTCGATAATTTAATGTACATAGATCTCCCAATGATCTCCCCTGATCCCTTCTGATCAAATCTAGGGAGATAACATTTCGCCACACGACTGCGCCCTGTGCTCAGGAACAAGACAAGAAGGACAGGCAACAAAACATGTGAGACTTTATGTTGACCCCTTGTTGCCATCGCCTGGTTTGGAGGTATATACGTTCAAGGAAAAACATGGTGATGCGTGATACAGCTAGCTAGCAAACGCCAAAGCAACGACCATCATGTTTTCTGGTAGCGGATCATTGCTTCTTGGGTGATCGGGCAAGCTTCCCTATGCATCCCTATGCGATAGCATATGGATATTTACCAGCCACGATCTGGGGCTACTCCAACTTCTTCATTTGGCCATGATGGACGCACGGAAGTGCGTGGAATTTTGTGCAATGCCCCCCGAGAAAAGAGTCATATAGTATCTCAGTATCTCCCTCAAGAATATGGAACATCATTTCCAGGCAACTTCAAACTTCGTTTTCGGCATTGTTGTGTCTGCAATGGTTTCCGCACGTAAACGGCTTACAAGTTTCACCAGAGGACGAGTTGAAGAACCCCTTCGTGAACAAAGTCACGGAGCAGACCAAAACGGACAATGAGAAGAATTACAAAATCGCATTCTTTGGGCTGAAGGTCACGTGGCTAAAGAAAAACATATTTACCCTTCTGCGTCCTGCAGACATGGCTAGGGCGGAGAATGGGAAATCCCCAATGTTGATGAAGGTCTTAGACTGGGAAACATATTGGAACTAAATCCACGATGTTCCCTTGCCATGTTTGATTACAGCATGTTGGACGCTAATCTACGGATATAAGCAGAACTAACAAGCAAGACACATCTTATTTAAGTATACGCAATAGGACCACATCAGATAATAGCCAATAAATATGATAGATTGAGCCAGCAGGTGAATAGCAGGTGGACATCACATATGGGAGCACACTAATTTTGACAGTTCGTTTCCTGATAGCAGCATTGGACCAAATTTGGTTCAATCCCAATCAATGCACGCAACCAATATGTTTGTTGCTTTTCCAGCCACGATAGCTATAGAACATAGATGTATATAGAACGCACATTTATGATTTACCGAGCTCCAAAGTGGTGATTTTTCTGCTTGGAAGGTTAAACTTACCAGAAGGTTAATCCCTGATCTTATCCCCAGAAATTCTACCAGTTTTGATGATTAAATCCCCATCGTACTATCCATAATTCACCCACATCTGCTTAAGTTCATACTAACATAGCTCTTGAAAATGACGATGTTTGATTTACCAAGCTTCAAAACATAGTGATTTTCCACATAGTTAATAAATATGTGTATATATCTAAAAATATGCGGAAAATTACCATTTTACCAGTCAGAGCATTTCCCTATCCCAAACTGGTGATGTTCAACCGAGGCCTTCATCGAAAGCATCCTCCGCATCGGCTTCGGTCACTTGAGCTTCCACGGCACCCCGGAGCAGTCCACACTCCCTGCGGCGACCAAGGAGCTGGAGCCGAAAAGGGCGTTATTTGATGGTTGTGATTTGATGGTTTTAATACCAAATATATGTGTATATATATATATACATATATATATACTCAATCATTGAGTTTTATGTTGCTATAGGCTCTAGATGTTTAAAACTATACAGATGCTTATATACTGATACCTATTTTGCTGATGAGGTTGGTTTAAAACTGTTGGATTTTGTCGCTTCTCTCGCTGTTGATCTATGTAGGCATGATGAATCCACATGAGCTTCCCAGCACCGCCCTCTAGGTTGTCGGTCTTCGGAATTGTCCCCCCATCTTTGGGATATGGGTCTCAAGTTGTCTGTCCTAAATGCTTTTCATCATTCCTAAGGTTGTTTATTAGTTCTTGTTCTTCCCCCGAGGTGTTTCCTGCCGACTGCCCCCGTCGCGTTGCACGTTGCTTAGCAGGCGCTTTGGGTGATCACGCATCTGCAGCAGCAACTGTCGCAGCTGCAAATGAAGGAAGACACCACGGTGGCTGACGCCTGGCTTTTCGGTGACCTTTTTGGGTGTTGGTCATGGGACGAGTGCTGTAAATGAAGCCGGATCTGAACACAAGGTTGCCACATGTTGCCACCCCCCCACATAAACCCTATCAGAAAGGGAGTGGAAGACGATTTTTCCGCTAAACATGGAAACTTCTCGATATGCAAATTAAGCGGATGATATGGGGATGATATGGGGATGATGAAATGCAATGAACCTGAACCAAGATGAGATAGACAAGTAGGTAGATTGATGGATGCACATATCACTTGCCATGATGGTCAGCTTCTTCCAATGAGCGCTGCAATATGGTTTGGAGCACTGCTGACTGGTTGCAACGGGATGGCTGATGATGCTTGCAAATCCATGTTGCAGTTCAGTGGAAACGGGACAGTGATAGCCACCTCAAAAATGATGAGTGACTCTTAAGGGCTTCACGTCATCCACTGGTTGCTTAAGGTAAAGACATGGAGATTCTGAAAACATCGTCCCAGCGAAACCCAGGAGGATGTCATGTCCTTCCAGAAGCGGATGGGCTGGGAGGCTGCCCTGCAACAGTTCGGCAACAAGAGGAGCGCGGGGCTTTTCTTTTTTTGGGGCACCTGGAGGCCCAGATTTTCTGGTAGAAGTGCAAAAATATGTTGTGTTTTATGTTTACTGTATATCTACATGGATTGAATTATATATATATATAACATATTACAGTTTTATGATTCTATAAATGTACGTTGCACATATACGCATATATACATTATCATTTGAACATATTTTAAACATATCAGTATATGCATACCTTCTTTAAGGTGAGATCGAGGGATGGATGGGTAGATATTCGCTAAATATCCATGTGTATGCATTTTTGACACTATGCACAAAGAAAAACATCCATACAATACAGTAGGTCCCTAGGTTTCTGAAATCCAATATTCCTTTCCATTCATTAACAAGCATGGGGCCCCCGGTTTGGACAGCCCTTCGGCCAAGAATGACAGCCTAGAACTCACACGAAAATAAAAATCCCGAAGCTCTTTGTATGTTGATTGGTACGAAGTTTATACTAAAAGACACAACTAACTAATTTTGAACGTTTTGGGGCTGCCCATTTTGTGTACAGACCCGATCTCACACACTGTTAACTTTCATAATTCCCTGTGCTTAAGGACCCCCCCTGTCCTTAAGGGTCGGGTGTGTGCGCAAAGAGGTGTTTGGAAGTCAAAACTAGATTAGACTGGGATTGGATACATCCACCATGCGAGGGTGTAGCTGCATAGCTCAAGATGACCCAGCAACTTTGGTGTGACCAGCTGAAAACGCAAACAACAACAATAAAATAGCATGATTTGCATGCAGAAAACTGCAAATCAATCACTGTGAGCACTATGATCACTGACAACTCTGAAACTGAATTTCATGGTGGCATACTAGACACCAAACGCCAGTGCCACCAAACAAAACGGAAACTTCTTGACGCACCATTTTTTCTTATTGTTTTTGATATTCTTATAGTTTTTTCTTTGTCTTTTTTTAAATATTTTTGATTATTTTTCTAGTGTTTTTCTATTGTTTTTAAATGTTCATTGTTATCCTCAAATATATTTGTAATTTGATTTTCATTTTTCTCGTGTTGTTTACCATTTTCAATAGTTTGATCAATTCCCAGTGTTTTTTCAAAACAAAAATGCTTATTGTTTTTATTACTTATTAAAAAAACTTTGTAATAATATGTTTATTGTCTGTTTCTAGTGGTTTCTCTATTTTTATATTTCGATTTTTTTGACTTTATTGCTTTTTTTTTTCATTTTTTTAAGGGTCAGTCCTTAAATTTAGAGGGTCCAGCCCTTAAATTCAAAGGGTAAATCCTTATATTCATAGGGTCAGTCCTTAAATTCATAGGGTCAGTCCTTAAATTCAAACAGTCCAGCCCTTAAATTCAAAGGGTCAGTCCTTAAATACAAAGGGTAAATCCTCAAATTCAGAAGGTTAGTCCTTGAATAACAAAATTTCCTTTGAAAGGGTTCCTTGGGGTAAATGGGGTCCCGAGCTGCGCGCCGCGCGCGCGCGCGCCAAAAAGGCTTCATTTAGGAGACCATTTTGGCGCGCGGCGCGTGTGCACCCAGGACCCCTTTCACTCCGAGGACACCTTTCAAAGGAAATCTTGTTAAATTCAGAAGGTCAATCCTTATTCAGTGAGTCCAGCCCTTAAATTCAAAAGGCCAGTCCTTAAATACAAAGGGTAAATCCTTAAATTCAAAGGGCCAGTCCTTAAATTCAGAGGGTCAATCCTTAAATTCAGATGGTCCAGCCCTTAAATTCAAAGGGTCAGTCCTTAAATACAAAGGGTAAAGCCTTAAATTCAGAGGATCAGCCCTTAAATTCAGATGGTTAATCCTTAAATTCAAGTGGTCAGTTCTTAAATTCAGAGGGTCCAGTCCTTAAATTCAGACCGCCAATCCTTAAGTACAAATGCCCAATCCTTAAATTCCGATGGCCAGAATTTAAATTCAGATGGTCAACCCTTAAATTTTGATGGTCAATGCGTAGAATCCAACTATCCTGAAATTGAAAGGGCCCAATCCTTAAATTCAAAGGGCCTTTAGACTCTTATGATCCAATCCTTAAATTCAGAGGGTCGGACCTTAAATTCAGAGGGTCAGACCTTAAATTCAGAGGGTCAGACCTTAAATTCAGAGGGTCAGACCTTAGGTTCAGAGGGTCAGACCTTAGGTTCAGAGGGTCAGCCTTAAATTCAAAGGGTCCCTCTGTACTTAAGGAATTTTGGCATCACCTTTGGGTAAAAAACGGCCAAAAACAAATGATTTGTATGCAAAAGTGATGCCAAAATTGCCAAGTTGGCCTAATTTGGCATACGTTTTTCACCAAAAACTTTGATTTTTGATTGTTTTTTTATCAAAAAGTGATGCCAAAATTCCTTAAGTACAGAGGGACCCTCTGAATTTAAGGCTGACCCTCTGAATTTAAGGTCTGACCCTCTGAATTTAAGGTCTGACCCTCTGAATTTAAGGTCTGACCCTCTGAATTTAAGGTCTGACCCTCTGAATTTAGGTCTGACCCTCTGAATTTAAGGTCTGACCCTCTGAATTTAAGGTCTGACCCTCTGAATTTAAGGTCTGGCCCTCTGAATTTAAGGTCTGATCCTCTGAATTTAAGGACTGGCCCTCGGAATTTAAGGATCGACCCTGTGAGCTTAAGATTTTGCAGCAGGACTTGTAACAAAGTGCTTGTCACGTTTGAAGGGCAAACTAATGATTTAACAACCACCCTACACAATAGTTTTGGTTGCAATCAGCAGCAAGAAAAAGTTACCCAATCACGGCAGCACATTGACAGAATCTGACCATTGTTTCTGGTAGGTTCTCATGTCTGTGCTTTCAGGTTCACGCGCAGGCCAATCTAATCATCTCCTAGCAAGACTTTTGTCAACTCCGACTCTGTCAGAGCCAACCACGACCCATTAAAATCCCGTGGGTGGAAATGTTGGTTTGTGTTTCAAATCAACCCGCCAATTTTCCCTTAAATGTGGCGATTGCTAGACCGATTTGCCAATTATGTCGGGCTGAACAGCATATTCATGGTAATAGATTTTATTTTATTTGTTACCCAATAATGGTAGCAATGCCATATTCGATAATTTTCAGAGAAATATCAACATCCAATACTCACCGCCAGCGCATGATTGAATCGTACTTTCTGCCATCAATTCGATCCATTTCCGACCTGAATTGGAAGAATCGAGTTGGAGGGAACCCAGGATGAGGACGATGATGATGATGATGATGACGATGATAATGATGATGTTGATTATGGTTATGATGTTGATGATGATGATAGTGATGATGGTGATGATGATGATGACGATGATAATGATGATGTTGATGACGATTGTGATGTTGATGATGATGATGGTGATGATGATGATGATGATGACGGTGATATTGATGATGTTGATGATGATTATGATGTTGATTGCGATGATGATGATGATGATGATGATGATGCCGCTGCCGCTGCCGCTGCCGCCGCCACCGCCACCGCCGATGATGATGATGATGATAATGATGAAGTTGATGATGATTATGATGTTGTTTATGATCATCATCCACAATCCTACTGCTGCCTGGGGAGGGAAAAAACGCACTGACAGGCTGACAGGTCTTGCATTTGTTTGAGATCATACTGGGCATTGAACAAAAGCAATGGTTTGTTTGGATTCTGTTTAACATGTGACAGTCTGTTACAGAAATTCAAATCAATTAGATTCTTTCGTGCCGCCACATGTTTGGCATGTTTGGATCATTTTTTCTTTGGAAAATAAATGATGGTCCTTATTATGTTGATGCACAAATTTTCTATATAGCAAGGAATGCGATTTAAACAGGAACACAATATCGCACATTGAAAACATGCTTAGGGACATGGCCTCAACCTTAAATTCGAGGGGTGCCCCCGAATTACGAAAGTTAGCATCACACACCCACTGAAGCGCCCCGCTGCAGAAAACACTTGGACAAAGTGATGGAAGAGTTCCGCCCCTTGGACAAGAGATCCTGGAGTTTGCATGGGGATGGTTATATGAAGGCCCTCCTTGGGGTGTAAACAGATTGAAGAACCACATACACGTGAGGCAGACACAATGAGACACATGTAATAGCGTAGATTAGATTTGATGACTGATATAAAGACTATATACATAAGGTTAGGTTAGATTGCATGGGATAGCTACAGGTACATAGATGGATAGATCAATAGACATAGATAGATATAGATATAGATAGATAGATGGATAGATAGATAGATAGAAAGATAGAGATAGATAGACAGATAGAGATAGATCGAGATAGAGATAGATCGAGATAGATCGAGAGATATATAGAGAGACATAGATAGACATAGATAAATAGACATAGATAGATAGACATAGATAGATAGTCGTATATATAAATATAAATACAAAGATCAATATACATATAGAATAGATAGATATACATAGGTTATTGACAGACAGATAGATAGATAAACGGACATATAGATAGATTGGTGACATGTAGGTTAGACAAGTAGATTAGACATATAGATAGATCGATAGATAGAGAGATAGACAAACATATAGATAGATAGATAGATAGATAGAAAGATAGATAGATAGATAGACAGACACATAGATAAATAGATAGATAGATCGATAGATAGATATATAGATAGATAGATAGATAGATAGATACATAGATAGAAAGATAGATCGATAGATAGATACATACATACATAGATAGATACATACATACATAGATAGATAGATAAATCAGTAGATTAGATTAGATAAATAGATAGATAGACAGACAGACATTTATATAGGCAGCATCGGTTATACGGCGCTGCTTTTTGCCCTGGCAGCTGAATGGCTTGTGTTCCTTTTTTTTCCGCCACTGTGTCCCATAGTTTTTTTTTTCCAGTAGCCAGATGAACAGTTTGGCTGGGAGTGTAGAGGTAGATAAATAGATAGATACATAGATAGACTTATAGATAGAATTATAGATAGATAGGTAGGTAGGTTGGTAGGTAGATAGATATATAGATAGATAGATAAATCCATACATAAAAAACATAGAAGCATAGAAGACACACAGACAGATAGATAGACAGGTGGATAGACATAGGTGGACATTGATAGACATAGATAGACATACAGATATGCATATTAATATAGATAGCGATAGATCGATACACAAGCACATATATATTTGTATATATATATATGTACATATATCGAGATAGCTAGCGATAGATAGAGATTGATAGAGATAGATAGCGTTAGCTAGTCAGATGTGTAGATGTTTGTAATAAGCCGAGGGCGATCTGCCACAATAGAATGTTCTCTGCATACCTGTGACTTGTGGATGATGCGATGGTATGAAATGCATTGAGTTCTATCATCTTGCGTAGGGTTATGCCATCCACTCCCTCAGTAGCAATGTCGGTAATGTCTTCTAATTGTTTCAATTGTGGCCCTTTGAGCCAGGGAGTGCAGGTATTTGCTTGCAAAATCAACTGTCCTCTATATAAAGAAATAAGAATGGTTCATTTTTCAATCATAATCGGGCATGTTTGCCTTCAGTGAATACGGAGAGATTACACAAAAAAAACGAAAATGGGTGCGTGTGAGTGTGTGTGTGATTGTGTGTGTGTGAGTGTGTGTGTGTGCGCGGGTGAGATGAGTATTCTCCGCACCTTTTGACACGACGTTTGCGAATGCCCTTGGGTTGTAACATCTTTGGATCATCGATGGCGGCTATTGGGATGCTAAGATACTATACTGTAGGATGCTAACATATTGCCAGATGGTGTTATACGTGCAACGCTTGAATTTGGACCGTGCAATTCATTCTGGTTTCACGACCAATGACCTCACGTCGCGACGTCACTGGAATGATGATCAGTAAAGGTTACCCTCTGGTAATTTAACATAGCTACTGAGTGAATTTTCCCACTAAAAATGGTGATTTTCCATAGTTATGTTAGTTTACCAGAGGGTAATAGGGGTAACTATGCCAACATTGCCTTAAATGAGTGAACTGATGTGAATTGCTGATTCCAGAAATATGACACATGTGAACATGACCCCTACCCGGTAGCCCTACCCATTTTGTGGTTCTTATGGTCCCACGTTGTCGGCCACTGATCAAAATGGATCAAAATGGTGGATGAACCCACAAAAAGACGCTTACCATGGCTTACTTTGTAACAAGCAAACGCCATGGTAAGCATGAACAAAAGGTAACCCATGGTGACCTTTTTGACAGTATGGGTTGCTGTATCCATTCTCGCCTAAGGCAACTTGGGCGTGGGATCCCAGTTTGACAAACAGTCTGGAGATCCATGTCTCGGTCATCCGGGATGGCAAATGATAAAAATGCTCACCCAGCCATGGACAAATTGCATTTAGCCATCAAACATAGAGATTTAACCATGACAACGAGGGCGGGTAGCAATTTTAAGATATGTGATTGATCACTGAATATCAAAGCTGCCATGCTGGATGGCCTCAGGATCTTTCCGTGACGCACATGGTTTCCCAATACCCATATGGAGGTTGAAATGGGGGTACCCCAAATCATCCATTTTAAAAGGACTTTCCATTAATATCCATTAATTATAAACTATCCATTTTGGGGTACCATTTTCAGAAACTTCCATATGCTCCGTTGTATGATTTTTCACTCACACGTGCCTCCTATTCATGTCCCAGTCATGATATTCACTGCGAGGTTACAAGCCGAAGAATGAAGAGGACGTGCTGGCCAGTACTTGCTCCAATTGCTCGTGTGCTATCAATGGATACAATTGGGGACACACACTCACATGTAATTTATACATGTCATCTATAATATCCTATACAGTAACCACCTAAGACAGAAAAGTAGAACAGGAATCTCAGTATTTGATCAATATTCTGAGCATTCTGAGCCATCTATATCCATCTGTCTGTGGCTTTTATCAAGGAGATCCAGGAAAACCCTTGGTCGGACGTTTCGAACTTGGAGCGGATCAAGGTGCACCTGGGTGACCTCCTTATCCTCTGGTAATTTAACGTAGTTAGCGGCCATGAATAAACCCTGGGTAGCCTCCAGTAAAACTAAGAAATTGTTATGGAACATGGATGAACATGGCAGATAGAAACATAGAAATCGTTGATTTACCGAACTTTTTCAGATGATTTTCCAGTTCTCTAAAGTGTTTACCAGAGAGTCATCCCCATCAATGGAGATGCGGCTGGATCAACAGCTCTATTTTGGAATTTTCACTGCAGGGTACTATACACTTGCGGGCTGCCATGATCCTTAGCTAAAGCATGTTTCAATTTTGTAAGATAGTTTGCAGTCATTTTTAAAAATATCTATATTATAATGAGCCATGATAGATTATTATAAATCACCCATATGCCCATGGCATAGAGGTTTAAAATTATAAATCACCTATATGCCAATGGGTTTTTTTTCTATGTTATATTTATCCTATTGATACCCTGGGGGTGTAGAATCTGGAGGATTCTTCGAGAAACCGACTGAGGATCGTGAAAAAAATCATCCCTGAAAATCCGCAAGAATTTGGGACATTTCGAGCAGCGTCACGATTTTGTTTCAGCTTCAAGTCCAGGAAACATCGGGAATACATTTGTCTGGGTAAATTATAACGACCTCACTGCGACCTCACTGGAATCATGGTTAGTAAGGGAAATCATCCCCAAATGGCCTTAATTCAGGCTAGTGAAATATTATAATTGACCCAGATTTATATGGTTGGTGGTTTGGAACATGAATTTTATGACTTTCCACACTATATGGGTTGTCATCCTTCCCATTGACGAACTCATATGTTTCAAGATGGTTAAAACCACCAACCAGATATGTATTTGGATCAAAGCCTCCAAAATACGGGCCATTTGAGTTCCAATATCTGTGTATGGCCGCTTCAATAACTAACCTGAATGCCTTAGTTTTTTGCGGGAAATGTATGGACATCGAGATGCTGCGAAGTGTCCGAACTTGAGTTTGTTCATTGCTCCAACAGCTCTGTGGAAAACATGATTTTAGTAGTGTTTTTTTTTCTTACCATCCATTGGAATATCAGTGAATATCAATGGTGAATACCATCTAAACCATGGTGAGCAAGAAATCTAGCAGCCTCCTTAACAGGCATGATTGATGCATTCCATGGGCTTATAGCCTTCTTAGACTTTCATTTATTGGTTTGTTTTTTCCTTAGGTTTTGTTTTTTCCCTTGTTACTCCCTTGTTTCTCCCTTGAAAACCAAAGAGAAGAACAAAGGAAACCAAAGCAAAACGAAGGAAACCAAAGCAAAACAAAGGAAAACCATAGAGTCCACCCAGCCCCAAACCAAAGGAAATCAAAGGAAACCAAAGGAAACCAAAGGAAATCAAAGGATACCAAAAGAACAATTAGATAATCTAAGAAGAACTGAATTTAGCTAGTTCCTCTGTGTTTCTTGTTGCGTCTTTTCGTTTCCTCCCACGATTAGAAACCATATTTTTGTGCAACCCATGCGATGGAAACGTTGACACTGCTTGCTTTTGGCCCATACCTTGGTGAAAATGTGGAACACCTGTTACAGAAAACACACTGCACTGATAGGGGGAAAAAACAGAAGAAAACACAAGAACACGGTTTTCAAAGGACAGGGCATGGTGATCAGATGATAACATCGGATCATCTAATGTAGCCCTGCTGTGAAGAATGCATGTTCACATGAATCTCAATGTTGGATATATTATATATTCTCCATCCAACCATGAATATGATAACTCTATGATATCTCTATTATTCTATCATCTTTATTCCAATGTGTGCCTGTGGTATCCCGATGTCTCTTGGCTTTATCATTGCACCCTGAAAATCCACGCACCCACCTCCTAGATCCCAACAAGGTGGCACCCCCCAAATATGTTTGCCATTGCTTTGGAAACATGATAAACCATATAAACCCATCAAAGTATAGTGATATCTAACATAAACCCCAGCTAACCCACTTGTAAACCACCTAGGCTGTATCTTTTTTGGGGCATGGGTCACCTGTCCTCCCATCTCCCAGTGCGAACGTCCGGAGCTCTTCGTGCCGCTGCCCAGCATGCGGCCAGTGGTGGCGGGGAAGAACTACGAGCGCAAGGCCCGAGCAGCTGCGGAGAGACCCCATGTTGGGTGATGATTTGTTCGGGGGCTTAAGCATCATGAAGATATGGAATTTTGGCCAATAACTATTGGGATATATGGAGATACAGTATCATTGATGATTGATTAGTTGATGATTAGTGGGCCTGTACTAACCAATGTCAATATCCATCCAATTTTGGGGATTTTCACAATCCATGGAATCACAGAGGGTTAGCTGAACACTGCTCAGCTGGGTAAAACCAGGAGTTCATCATCCCCCATGAGGATCTGATGGGACGGGCTCTTTTTCGGGCTCTTTTTCTCAGTAAAAATCCTTGTCCAATTGCCAAAAAACATGGGGATGTCTTAAGCTAGCAAATTTTGCAGGCTACAGTATCTCAAATATTCTCAAATTGGCAATGGGAAGGGCAACAAGGGCAAGTGTTGGATGGAAGCGGATGGAAGCGATCAAAATATGGAGATGTATACCTTTACTTATATGACATATATATATATATAAGATGATATCACCAAAAACATGGGAATCGAAGCAACAATTTTTCATGATTTTGTGGGCCCTCCCCCATCTCTGGAGAAAACCATTGGTGGTTATAATACCCTTACTACTGGTAATAGGGAATTAACAATGTCACGGATTCGTAAAATATCTTAAAATCACTGCTGGTTATCGTTGGTGATCTAGTATGTAAATACCGTTGGTTAAGAATATGACATATGTGGCAAGCCCAGCAGTGCGCTGTGGCAACCTCCCATTTGGGGATGGTAACCTAATCCCACAATGGTACTGGTGCTGACTTGGGGATGGTGGTTTAACGAGTTTGCGACAGATCCCAGATCATCATGATCCTTCTTAAACCATATGAAATCAGACGATTAGTCACATTAGTCCATCAATATCATTGTCCCTAAAGGGAAAACCATGGGAAAACCATCCCATTATGTCCAGGCTCCTTGCCCGGAGTGCAAAGCTGAGCCACAGCATGGATGGGGAAATATGTGCCTTGGAAAAGATGGGGTTCACTGACATGTTTATGGGCTGGCTGGCTGTGAACATATGGGAAATCTTCGTTTTAAACGTGAACTGACTGAAGGTTTTCTTTAAAGGTTGCCTTAGACATCCTCAGGCCAAGTTTGGGATTTGTGGAAGGGCACTTTTTGTCACAAAAATCGTGGCATCCTGATAACCAACGTGAACGTTACTCACGTTTTGTTGGTGAAAATGGGTGCATTATGGGATCCATCCATGACGCAGATGCAATAGGACCTCGTGAACATCCCACTGGGATCCTACCCTCGGGCAATCCAGTTATACTGGTAGTTGCTCATAGCTATTGTCATTAAGAAAATGGAAAAGCACATCCACATCATCATCATCGTCATCATCATCATCATTATCATCATCATCAAACCAGTGTTGTATAGGCAATTACTGTTTTATCTTTTTGAGGATGAGTACATGTATTGCATATGCACACACAGACACACACATACACACACACATATATATATACACACATAGCTGTCCTATTGAATTCCCTTTGCCACATTTGCTTTCCAAAGCGTGTTTGGATTTTGAGGTATTGCCCCAAATGCGGTCACGCTGATGGCATGATCCGGGCAACTTGACATCAGCCAGGGCACGAACGGTTTGTTGGGGGTGCGCAAGCGAAGGGGATCCTGTATAGTATGGACATGATTCAGATTGCGCACAACAACTTTTGGAAATTCCGGTGCGTTCCGATCGCCAACTTGGCAATTCGGGTCTGAACCTGTCAGCTTTAGCCCAGCCATACATTCCGAGCGGGCCATTGCCTGTGGTGATAATCTTGGAAAGCTGTCAGCTGAACACCAAAGCAACACAGGATACAGGTACGATCCGTAATCAGAACGGCTCAACAAAAAATGCTATGTTCATATGTAAGTAGAAACTGAGGATAGTAACATATAAGTACGGCAAAAGTTGTGAATTTTACATCAACTTACCAATTAACAACACAGGAAATTTCCTACAAACACAGGATCATTTGTGGTTGCACTCCATCCCACCCAATCCCACAGCTTCCCTTTGAAGCTCAGCTCGTCAGCTGGAGGCGTGTTTGGCCAACAACAAGCACTATGATCTGCACAAACTTCCCACCTTGGATCGAATTATTTGCCTCTTAGGCACTGGGATGCTGGGATGGGGATGGGCTATCGTTTTTTTGTTTTTAAATGTATATGTAATATCCATATATATATATATTACATGTATATACTGTGTATATATATATATACATGCATATACTATATATATATGCATGTAATGTAATGTAATGTAATGCAATGCAATGTAATGTAATGTAATGTAAGGTAAGGTGAGGTGAGGTGAGGTGAGGTAATGTATGTATGTATGGTTGTATGTATGAGTATAAATACAAATACATACATACATACATGCATGCATGCATGCATGCATCCATCCATACATACATACATACACACATACACACATACACACATACACACATACACATATACACCCATACACACACATACTTACATGCTTACATACTTACATACTTACACACATACACACACATACACACACACACATACTTACATACTTACATACATACATACTTACATACTTACATACTTACATACTTACATACTTACTTACTTACATACTTACATATATATATACATACATATTTACATAGATAGCACAGCTATATATATACATATAGACACACATATATATATATATATTTATACTTACATTGCACATTTATACATTACATATATATATATATACATGTTGACATTTTTTATTTTAGGCATTGACAACTTCACGGCGTCACGGCCACGTCATGGCCACGAGCGCTGAGTTCAGAGTCCTTAGGTTCTTACCCCTTGGATTGAATCCCCACGATGGAAATCCCTGAGCATGTGCCATTCTAAAGATGAAAAAAAACGAGAAGTGCGTGCTTCTGCCCCATGTTTGATCCCAAATACATCCAAATATCACAAATTACAACCACCTCAACCTCTTTTCCCTCTAGTTACGGTTTCAATGGGAAGACATTCCAGACTTGGCTTCTTTCGAGTCATGGACAGATTGTATTTTGCCGAGAACATCCCAAAGATAAAAGGACAGAGCTGTTTCCACCATGAAATGCTTGTGGTGAGCCCATGTGCTAGTGTAGTCCCCTCAGTCTTGGGTTGCAGCCACTGAACAGCTAGCTCTGATCATGAATTTGGATTTCTGAAGCAACTTGAAGCCACTCTAGAAGTGGTTCGACACAATTCCGGTCAAAATGCTCCTCAAACAAGGTTTTGTGAAGATTAGCTATGAATATGAAGCCGCAAACATTGATTATGGCTATCTTATATTATGTAATTGAAATACAGTTACACAGTGTACTATCATAATTATACAGTATATTACTATCATGTTATCTCTTATGGCTATCTTAATTATACAGTACATTACAATGTACTATCGAAATGATCATAATTGCACATAATACATTGTCATATACATATACTGTATAATTATCTGTACTATCATTTGATATAATTATCTGTGCCCATTACATGATCCTATATTCCTATACAGTTTGGAAGATCATGTTCCTATCGATGGCTGGCATGAGATGTGGCCGGCTCCAGGAACCCATACAACGCCTCCGGGTCCGATGCATCGCGACTTGACGCAAAAAACTGGCGACCAAAACGATGAAGAGCCAGGGAGCCATTTTTTTTAAGACATGTTTTATAGAATATGTATTTATATATGTATATATTTATTTAGATATATGCATATATATATATATGAGGAATTATATATACTGGAGTATACTGTAGATATATCTATATAAATGGATTTGATACATATTAATAGCAGACCGCAAAAGAAATATAAAAGGTTCAATGTATCACTATCTTAGTAGGAATTTATTAAATTCTTTTTTTGGGGGGGTGTTCTAGTATGTTCTAGTCCCAATTGGATCCAGTCGTACCTTCTGCGGAAGTACGACTGGCTGGCGAGATCCTGTGGTTGAATCCCAAGGAGATGACGGAAACCCCGCGAAGCCCTTCAGCCACGCCAACCTGGAGCTCTCCGTGGAACGACGCAGCTCCCGAGCCAAGTGAGGTGCCGTTTTTGGCAGCTGAGTTGCTGTGTAGGTGAAGCGAGGAGTCTATGGTAGATACATAACGATATATATATATAATAATAATAATGATAACAATAATATATATATATACATATACACATAATTATATTGTATAGGTATTTTTAGATACAGTATAGTACGTGATTCTATAATTGAACTGACTTGGCAGACATAAAACTACAGCAACTGTAATTTCACACATGATGTATATCTATCTATATCTATATCTATACCTAGGTTTAGTGTCTTTCTACTTAGGTTTTATCACATCAACTCTGGCATCTTCTGCATGATGTCTATCATGGTTCGTACGACCTTCGAAATAAATAGAAATAATGTGTATATGTGTATGGATGTGTATAATATATAAACACAGGCAGAAACAGCATAAGTTTGGAATGATTGGCCAAAATCATGTACTATAGATTTTGGAATAATTGGTGCATGATTTGTTTTTTGGAAAACATTTTTACACAGCATAATTTCTGTAATACATTTTGAGATGGCTGGATTCAAGTGTAGAAAAGTGTTCAGTCTTTGTTGAATTAAGCAAGTAATTGCAGTATATAAAGCAAGATCAGTCCTATAATGTCGGCAACCCAATAAGAAACCTATCATCTGGGGATGGTGTATACCATCCATTTCTGGTGTTTTTTTTTGGGATGGTCTAATCCTTTCACCCTAACCCCACCCCCTAATATTAAAAAATGATTTCGAAGGTTCCCCTAATACTAAATTAAAACAACCTTGTTAGAGTTAAAACGATAAACAACTATTTCGAAATCGACTAAATCCGTTTTAAGAACTAATTCACATATTGCCAAACATTGGGTTTCGAAGGATCCCTGATATTGAATTACAAACCTTAATTTTACAAACATGTCTATTTCAAAATGGGACCCTAATAATAGAACATCAGGTGTGATGTTTTTTGTTTTTACTAAGAGGTTGTAAACACCACTATTTCACCATCCTGTTCTCATTGATTCTCAATTACCACAATAAAGAACATAGTTGTAAGCAAGCAAAAAAAAACGAGGTGCCAATCCAGTCCTATTTTCATTGGGCTTGGGGGAGTTTTAGCAATAGGCAGAAGAGATTATTATTGGGTCTACCACATTTTATCATGGATCCAGATCAAGCCCATTGACTAAAAACACCGTGGCCAGCGTCTCCAGAAGCGGCCCTTCACCAACGAAATGCTGTGAGGGTGCCCACCGCCAGAGGAGAAGCCTGGCCTCACTCCATGGCAGGTGTTTATTTTGGAAAGTGATGAAACCTGGGATTTTGGGGCGCCCTGTTTTCAGCCTAGTGACCTGTCGACCACTAGTGATGTTTAAGAGTTCTTCTACCGTCGCACGTTTTTGAATCACAAGAGTTACGACGTAGAGTTGGGAGATAATAAATGTTCCACTCTGCACCTGTTTAATTACCTAGGTGGCAAGAGGCCTAGAACCTCGAGATGTGCCCATGGTGATTGTCGCACAAAAATATCACGTTCATGGGTTTGCTTGGAAATGGAGCACTCAAATATTAATTTCACTGGGGATGTTTTATATGTGACGGTGAATTGTCTGAGAACTCCTGAACAACACATCACAAGTCTGGCTGATCACCGGTTTCAGGATCCTATGGTACTGTGTCAACTCAACAGATTCAACGGACAATACCCTTTGGTAAACTAACATAACTATGGAAAATCACAATTTTTAATGGGAAAACTCACTATAAATGACCATTTTCAATAGCTACGTTAAATTCAACGGACAATAGACGTCCCGGACAGCCCAACAATCCCGATGCCCGAGCCCAGCACCAGAACTCGCCAACGACCGCGTTGAGTTTGTTGGCAGAAGGCCCAGAGCTGTGACTCCCTAAGGGGCGACCACCGGCTGACACCAGCGATGGGCTGGGCAACTCATTGGTGATACCATGTGATCCGAATGAAAAGTAGATAAAAGTAGAAGCTTTGAACCTTTGAACCTTTGCAACCCTACAAGGCTGAGATGTAATGTTTCCCCTTTCACACACAAATTGACCCAGCAAACTCCAATGTCTTTGGTTTCTTGTCGCTTAATCCATGCTGCCCTTGTGCATAAGTGCTCCATTTTCAGTGTTTTTTGTTGACTTCCTCAAAGCACTCAAAAGCATGACAAGTATATAATGGTATATAATGGTATATAATGGTATATCATCTGATTGGTGCTTTGGAACATTTTTATTTTTCCATATATAGGGAATAATTATATATAATCATCCCTACTGACGAACTCATATTTTTCAGAGGGGTAGGTATACCATCAACCAGATCATTATAAATCATCATAAATTAACCATATATCAACCATATATTAACCATATATTAACAGTATATTAACCATTGATAATGGTTTATGGATACTTGGTTTATCTATGTTTATCTTGGTTCAACCTGGGGGGATCAATCATGATCAATCAACAAACATCAGCACTCAGCCGGTGATCGAGGTCGCAAGCAAACTATGGAGGTTACCTTGTTGGAGTCTCACCTAGCAATGGCCAAACATATACATGTATTATATATAAAGATTTATATTATGGTCGTATGTGTGCCTACTGTGAGTTTACATTGTATATATATATATATACACACATACATATACATATTGTATTTATGTATTTGTTTTTGTCTTCTATACTGGGAGGGCAACTTGTTCATGGGGAAAATACCAGGTCCAAGCTGGAGAAATCATGCCCCCAAGTTCCCAGATTATTGGCCCCCCAGCCGGCACAGACTTCCCAGTCAAGGCACAGAAAAGTCACCTCCAGGTCTTTTATACCGCATTCGCTCTCATGCATAGCATGCGAAGCGCGCTAAACGCGGACAGCGTTTCACAAAAGGAATTGACTGTGGCGGGTCCGAAGAGTGCCAGGGGAGCCCGCCCGAGCTCCATGGATTCCATGGGTTCATAGGGGATTGTTTTGCTGAACTCAACTGCATTTAGGATGAGAACATGGGATGATCTCAGGAGGACTTAGAAACAGCAACTCGTGAGATTCAGAACGTTTAAGCAGCTCCGGATTTCAAACAAAATTACTTTCTTCGAGCGATACCAACTGACATTGTATCGATACAATTCTGACATTGTATCCGGCATTCTATTTGACATAATTTGACATATAGTCTGACATTCTATTTGGAATTCTTTCTGGCATATAATCTGGAATTATGTATTGCATTTTATCTGACATATATTCTGACATTCTGTCCGGCAATCTATCTTTCATTGGCATTCTATCTGACATTCTCCCTGGCATGTGTTCGGGCCCATGCGTGCCCAGCTGCATCCGGAGATCGCGATAGGGTTTGGGTCCAGGCATGCCCCGGATCAATGCGTGCCCAGACTAGCTGTGAGCTCCGGGCCCATTGGTGCCCACAGTCACCACGAGCCGGCAGAGGGAGAAGATGCAGAGACGAGGAGGAGGGGAGGAAGAGTCAGTTAGAGGAAGGAGTTGCACCTTTGTCAAAAACTAGAGAGCCTCACCTGGCAGGTGGGGAACAATCCACATGGATTTCAACATCCCATGGTCAAGTTATGGCACAGAGACAGCGCCACAGCACACGTCGGCCGATTTTCGCGGGATGCTGGAAGCTTGGAAGCGCTGGAATCAGTTGCCCCAGGAATTTGATGGCTCTCAACAACCCCCTACAGTGAGAAGTGAAATCGTACTGAAATAGTCGTAAATGACGTGTCTATCTTTTTTGGGGTTAATTGCTATATGTTACTACATCTATCTACATCTATATTAATTATACGGTAACTACATATCATCGATCGTTTGCAACTACTTGGTCGGGCGCTCATAGATGGCCGTATGTTTCGTGCACTTTCATCTCAGTTTTGACACACATGTATGAATGGTGATATGGCAAATCCTCCACGCTGGCCATTCGAAATGCATGTACAACTTCACATGTCCATGTTCATATCTTGGCGTGTCATATTTTGACGTCGAAAAAAACTACTTCACTTGAGACACTTTCGGGTGTATTTACTTCAGTGCATGACTTTTATTTTCATCCACCTTTAATCTGCAAAAAGTCGAGACAGTTGCTCGAGAACCTCGCTTGGATTCTTTCCCAAAAGTGCATGGTTTCTCCATGCCCATTGAAACACTTCTAAAGACACATGCTCATGCAAGGTTGCGTCATCTCCTTTTTTATGTTTTCAAAAAAACAGGAAATTCAAGGAAAAAGATGTGTTGAATTACAAGAAAAGATCTCATGACGTACCATCCCAGATGTGTTGAATTCCAAGAAAAGATCTCATGACGTACCATCCCAGATGTGTTGAATTCCAAGAAAAGATCTCATGACGTACCATCCCAGATGTGTTGAATTCCAAGAAAAGATCTCATGACGTACCATCCCAGATGTGTTGAATTCCAAGAAAAGATCTCATGACGTACCATCCCAGATGTGTTGAATTCCAAGAAAAGATCTCATGACGTACCATCCCAGATGTGTTGAATTCCAAGAAAAGATCTCATGACGTACCATCCCAGATGTGTTGAATTCCAAGAAAAGATCTCATGACGTACCATCCCAGATGTGTTGAATTCCAAGAAAAGATCTCATGACGTACCATCCCAGATGTGTTGAATTCCAAGAAAAGATCTCATGACGTACCATCCCAGATGTGTTGAATTCCAAGAAAAGATCTCATGACGTACCATCCCAGATGTGTTCAAGTCCAAAGAACGTTATTACACCCCCCCACCCCCCCCGACCCCCACACCCCCAACCAACACCACGCCAAAAAAACAACAAAAAAAGACAAAAAAAAAGGTTTCACTGAGGGGGGAAAAAAAAAGAAGGAAAAAGTGCGCTCTCGCTGTGGCGCCAGTGCAGTGAACTAGCAAAAACACTGTTTCGTGACGCGGCCTTCTGCGCGCGCCCAGCCAACTACTTGCATCCACTTGTCAGGACCTCTCGCACATACATGTCGGGTTGAACCAGTGGTGGATCACATTTACCAACACTCCCCCAAGGACTTGAATGTAGGTAAATATTCGTGGAGCATATGAGTTTGTTTGAACATAGTGTACCATAGCCTGCTGGCACCCCCAAAAAAAGTTTATCATGTCTCCATCAAAATGGTAATTTTTGAGTATCCCCCATATTAAGACACACCCACATGCTAACCATGATGATCATCATGGTCCTGGTATATATTCTACCTCTATGACTGGGCCATTTGTGGGGTAGATGTTGGTAAATTTCTTATACCTTGGGGCGAATGTGGGTCATGGGTGTGCTCATGTTACTAAATGTTGCATGTTGGTCCAATAATATGGGGAATTATGGGAACCTCGAATCCACTGACTCCCATTTTGGAGTCCCTGTTCTGGACATACACACACATCATGTGTATGTATATGTATATATATATACACACCTTATATGCAGATACCCGGAGGGTTATCCCAAAGACACTTGCTTTTCAGGTGTACGGTGTATGAGCTTTTACATGCCCGGACCTTTAAACATGATGACTCAACATGTGATCCCCTACAAGTAAGAAGCAGCTTTTTGTGCATCTTTTGTGGAGACAGCTCCGTGCGCAATATCAGCGGAGTGAATCAGTGCAACCTGGAGCAATCTCACCGTATGTGTTGCTTAGCATGGAATCTCATTCCAGAACGATTTTCCTTCCGCAATGACATGTTTCAGGCTTTGGGCAATACAACGTCTTTCTTGATCACATCCACTGGTTGGCTACTTTCCTTGTGCTGCAATTTTGCTTACCCAGCATGTTTGGACCCCAATGGAAGAACCAGTTTAGGTGGTTGAAACACGTTGCAGCCAGTAATGTTGCAGCCTATATCAACGGCCATTTCAATGCTTATATAACCAAGAAAGAAACCGACCTATGGTTTCTTTCCGGTTTCATTCTCACACTTGGGATGTTTTAATCCTACATGACAAACGCATGGTTTTTCTGTGACATGGGTGGCCCGATCACCAACCCGACAACTGATAGCCAATAGATAAATGGATAAATAGATAGATAGATAGATAGGTAGATAGATAGATAGATTGATTAGATAAGACAAGATCAGTTTATATAGATAAGGTCGGTGAATATTTGATAAGATAGAAAAGATAGATCGGATGATCGGATAGATGATAGGACACATATGATCTATAGATAGGATCGATAGGATAAATCGGATAGATTGGGTAGGATAGGGAAGGATAGTCTGGATGGATGGATGGACGGATAGATAGATAGATAGATAGATAGATTAGATTAGATTCGATTCGATTCGATTAGATTAAATTAGATAGATAGCTAGCTAGATAGATAGATAGATAGAAGACAGATCGACGGACAGACAGTCACTGATAGATAGATAGATCAATATGGAAATTATATATATATAATTATATGTATGTACATATATATATATATACATGGACATAGTTTTACTCTTATTCATTTGTACTTATACTTATTTACAGGTATATATTGATAGAAAGAAACGGTATATATATAGAGAGAGAGAGAAAGAGATAAAGATATAGTAAGACAGAGCGGATAGATTGGGTAAGATAGGTAAGATAGGTAAGATAGGTAAGATATATAATATGAAAGAAAAATGAGATAGCCGTGCTATATAATGTATATCTATACATACACGATAGATAAGATAAAATCGATAGATAGCAGATATGAATTGATAAGGTTTGTTTATGTTTAAAGATGTGATTAAGATTAGATTAAGATAATATTAAATATGATAGGACAGATAGGATAGGATAGATCAGATGGATATGATGTAATGAGAGATAGGAGAGATGATAGGAAAGATGGCATATATAGATAGGATGCATGGGATGAATAGGTAGATAGATGAGAGTGACACCAGTTTCTACAAACCCAAACTTGGATTTTGAATGATTTTGGCTCAGGGGTTTGCAAGGGCTATATTAGATAAGATTTTTGCCACGCTTTCCCATGAGCTGGGGAATGAAAGGGACCACAGTCTCCGCCCCGCGGCCGTTCCCAAGTTTTGGGCATGGAACAGCACCGGCGACGCTGCGGTCGCCGGTGTATCTAACCCAAGGGGCATTGGTGTTTTGCAAAAATGCAAACATGGCACGTGGTGCAGCTTGGGGTTGGGTAAACCCGGTAGGTTGATGATTAATTGGGGGATTATTTCATACAAACCAATATATAGTGGGGAATTTCACAATCCATGAGCCCCTTCCCAACCAACGAGTACAAAGTGACGAAACAAGGTTTTGAACAGTGATCAGTTGAATTGGGAAGGTTGGTTTTTGCCAATGAAACAAGGGGGGTTCGCCAGCAAGAATGGGTAAACGCAGGGGTATAAGGTCAGTCGTGAACAAGGCACATCGCTTAGAACCATCAAATGGTAATTACATAGATATATGCCCTACCTGTATGGAAAACAGTTTGCTGCATGAGTATTTTCTGATGATAAATGGGCCATTGCAAATTAAAACCCCTCGTAACATTGTCAAATAATCATACATACATACATACATACATACATACGTACGTACGTACGCACGCACGCACAGACAGTCAGACAGACAAACAGACAGACAGACATACATACATACATTCATGCATAATCATTTACATAATCATACATAATCATACATAATCATACATAATCATGCGTAATCATGCGTAATCATGCAGAATCATACATAATCATACATAATCGTCATACATACATTTGCATTTACATTTATGTATACATTACATTACATTACATTACATTACATTACATTACATTACATTACATTACATTACATTACATTACATTACATTACATTACACACACAGATATAAATATAGAGGGCATGAGCATGAAAATGAAAAAAACAAAATGAATACACCCAATACTAAACCAGAGTGAGTAACTGTTGCATTCTTGAGGTGGAAGGGATCGGTTTGTTGACACAGGTGTTCCAATCAAACCCATGTTTGGATATGTTTAGGATGTAACTTCTGAAGGGTTTTCCGGAGTTCGATATGAATTGTCTTAGTGGGTTGTTGTTTCCTTCGTGTCTAGCAACAGGTCGTTCACTGAAATATGGGCCCACGCATGTCCACGTGAGTTCCAAATCCAAAAGTATTGCGGCTGATTTTACAGTTTTCCACAGAATGGTCCACTTTTTTGGCGATGGGCTGTACAACCAATAGACGTGTTTGAACCTTTCCTAGGCTCTGAGTTTACCCATGGAAAATGATAAGATGTTCTTGGCAAATTGAGATTGACTGTTTATTTCCAAATCCCATAGCTGGCTGCATATCATGCTTCTGGCCCACGTGTTTCCAGTTGCCGAATGTTCGGCTCAAATCTCTTGATGGAAAAAAAAATCCGATGCCCAAGAAAAAGCAAACAAAAACAGATAATTACTTACATATCAAAATTATCAAAATACCAGCCCTACAAACCCAGACGGGTACCGACGATAGAAACGTGACTCCCTACTTTCTTTCGGATGGTGTTTTGGTTTTTGGTTTGCACCGGGAAACCCTATTTGCGTGATGTATACACATGGCATTCCATTATAGACATTTGGGTGGTCAGAAATTGGGTACCCCAGTTATTGGATGGTTGATAATAACATTTTAATACAAAAAATAGACGACTAAGAACAGTGGTCTCCTGAGTCTTAAAATCAGACCCCTACGACCCCTACATGATCATTTGATCATCACCAAGGCCTGGCCGGATGGCGATGGTCTGACCAGGGCATGACTTACCCATGAAAGATATGGCATGTCTCCTATGAAAACAATGGTGTTTTAAAGTGTTTTACCTTTTTTAGAACTGATGAACATGAACATTTTACACGTTTTTGGTGGTTTCTTAAAATGGTCAATCTACAAGTGGTTTTGACGCAGCTGGCACTTACCAGTGGCGAGGTTGAACCGTTGGACGTTTGACCTGGAACCTAAAACTGAGATGCCAACTATCATTTTTATTTGGGCTTTGGATATGTTTGCGTTTCATAAGGCAGAACACATTTTCTTTATCGTTTCACGCTTGAAAATTGGTTTGGGACTCCTGTTCCCATGTGGTGGGACAGAAACGCTTTCGCCAGGTATTGGCACGAGTAGATAGCAGGTCCCGCAGAGGATAGATAGTTTGCAGCCATGGGGCGCATGTATGGAAAGGGCAAGGGCATTGCCTCATCCGCCATCCCCTACAAGCGAACTCCTCTAAGCTGGCTGAAGATGAAGCCGGATGATGTGGTTGATCACATCTGCAAGCTGGCCAAGAAGGGTCTGACTCCTTCCCAGATTGGTGTCACCCTGCGAGACAGCTTCGGTGTGCCACAGGTCAAGGCTGTGACTGGCAACCACGTGCTGAGAATCCTCAAGACCAACGGCGTGGCACCAACTCTCCCTGAGGATTTGTACTACCTGATCAAGAAGGCAGTGTCCGTGAGGAAGCACTTGGACAAGAATCGCAAAGACAAGGATGCCAAGTTCCGCCTGATTCTGGTGGAGAGCCGTATCCACCGCCTTGCCAGGTACTACAAGCGTGTGAAGGCCTTGCCAGCTACTTTCAAGTATCAGTCTTCCACCGCATCGGCATTGGTGGCGTGAGTGCCAGCTCCCAGTGAAACTAGAATGTTTGAGGGACCATAAGCTACCTGCTCATGCCAAGGAAAAAAGTCGTCGTGCAGTTGCATTTTTGTTTGGTTATGAGTTGCTGTTGGCACTGGCTGATTGAACCAGCGTTTTTCCAAGGCATTTCCTTTTTGGGGGCATCCCCGTACAATGCTCTCATGATCATTGAAGTCATTTCAGTTGCTGTTTTGGACTTTATTTCATCCTTCCGTGCCAGGCCAGATGAGCACATGTCACACATCTTTCAAACAGATTTGCCAACTTCTATTTGACTGCATGTGCTTATGTTATATAGTTTTAATATGTTTTAATGTTGTATTCACACTTTTGTCAAAATGTGTTGGTTGGCTAAGTTCTCTTACCCGAGATGCAATTATTTCATCTTCACGCTTGAAAAGTAGGTGTTGCCAATCGGTCTGCTGCTTTTTGAGGGAATGCACGTGTAGGTGAGTAGCGGGTCCCGCAGAGGATAGATAGTTTGCAGCCATGGGGCGCATGTATGGAAAGGGCAAGGGCATTGCCTCATCCGCCATCCCCTACAAGCGAACTCCTCCAAGCTGGCTGAAGATGAAGCCGGATGATGTGGTTGATCACATCTGCAAGCTGGCCAAGAAGGGTCTGACTCCTTCCCAGATTGGTGTCACCCTGCGAGACAGCTTCGGTGTGCCACAGGTCAAGGCTGTGACTGGCAACCACGTGCTGAGAATCCTCAAGACCAACGGCGTGGCACCAACTCTCCCTGAGGATTTGTACTACCTGATCAAGAAGGCAGTGTCCGTGAGGAAGCACTTGGACAAGAATCGCAAAGACAAGGATGCCAAGTTCCGCCTGATTCTGGTGGAGAGCCGTATCCACCGCCTTGCCAGGTACTACAAGCGTGTGAAGGCCTTGCCAGCTACTTTCAAGTATCAGTCTTCCACCGCATCGGCATTGGTGGCGTGAGTGCCAGCTCCCAGTGAAACTAGAATGTTTGAGGGACCATAAGCTACCTGCTCCTGCCAAGGAAAAAAGTCGCCGTGCGGATGCCGAAAATTTTGCGTAGAGTTGTTTAATTTTTCCTGATGCTCGCAGCATTGGCGGCATTGGCACCTGAATTTTGCAGAACATTTGATCGGTGGTTGTCAAGCTGGTTGCTCACTTCTGATTTGTTTTTTTTGAAAACGGACCCAATTAACACCACACACTTTTGGCGTGTCATGCATTGGAAAATTCCTTATGGATTTGTTAGATGCTTGTCATGTCATTGCGGTAGGTTGCATACCTTTTTGTGCCTTGTCACCTCATGCAAAATGCAAAGCGTTTCTCTTCCATTCATGCCCATCCAATGCCATTTTTTTGTGGAATGAAATTGTGTCATATTTTATCAGAAGTTGATGTTTGTGCATTTCGCGCGGCACTGGCAGGGGTTAGCACGTGTAGGTGAGTAGCGGGTCCCGCAGAGGATAGATAGTTTGCAGCCATGGGGCGCATGTATGGAAAGGGCAAGGGCATTGCCTCATCCGCCATCCCCTACAAGCGAACTCCTCCAAGCTGGCTGAAGATGAAGCCGGATGATGTGGTTGATCACATCTGCAAGCTGGCCAAGAAGGGTCTGACTCCTTCCCAGATTGGTGTCACCCTGCGAGACAGCTTCGGTGTGCCACAGGTCAAGGCTGTGACTGGCAACCACGTGCTGAGAATCCTCAAGACCAACGGCGTGGCACCAACTCTCCCTGAGGATTTGTACTACCTGATCAAGAAGGCAGTGTCCGTGAGGAAGCACTTGGACAAGAATCGCAAAGACAAGGATGCCAAGTTCCGCCTGATTCTGGTGGAGAGCCGTATCCACCGCCTTGCCAGGTACTACAAGCGTGTGAAGGCCTTGCCAGCTACTTTCAAGTATCAGTCTTCCACCGCATCGGCATTGGTGGCGTGAGTGCCAGCTCCCAGTGAAACTAGAATGTTTGAGGGACCATAAGCTACCTGCTCTGAACGTGTGCGAAAACAAAGGGTGGTGACGTAGAGCATTGTGCAGGTACCAAGCGGCTATGAGTTTGTGATGGGTATTTGCTGTTGAAAGCCTGATATTATTTGCAGGTTTTGAACTTTAACTTATGTTTTTGAGTTTCCGGAGATGTTGAGATACGGATGTCAGGATTTTGACAGTCAATCCCAGCACATCGACGCACTATCATCCTGGTTGGTTTCGGGCATTGTTTATATTCTGGTAATTTGACATAGCTATGGAAAACGTACCATATTTGTACCATTGTATCCATATAATTATTTAGTTGTTTATAGATAATTTACCTACATAAACATTTTATAACGTGATGATATGTGATGATATTTTACATAGTTAAGTTATGTTAAACATTGTTAAACTGTTAAACTATAATATCAGAAGGTACGGGATGTTATTTTTTGCTGCCCAAAGATGGGGATGACGACTCCAGCCCCCTTGGTCCCTGGTCAAGTTAGTTGGAGCATCATGATTATAACATATTATATACATATTACATTGGTCATCGGTGTTATATATATATATATATATGTGCATACTAAACACATATACATTATATAATATATATATATATATAGGTACTAAACACATATACATTATATATATAGGTATACGCCATTACACCTATCATGACACAGAAAAATGGGGATGCTCATCCCAGCAGTTGATTCTGTCCCTCATTTTTTGCCCGGATCCCTGGAGCCGAACGCCGAAAGCCGAACATCAGGTGACTCAGCAGAGGAGTAGCAGCCGCCGCCGGAGGCCATGACTGTTGCCATTGCCAATGAAACATAGATATCATAGACCATAGACATCCATAGACATCCATAGATATCCATAGACATCCATGGACCCTAGTTGAAAGTTTGGGGATTAGACAAATTAGAATGATTTCCTCCAAAACATTGGAATTCTTGGAGTCGATGTTAATTTTTGGTGGCATCGGAACCACTACGGCTGGAATGTGAAGCAAGAAAGAGGTGGCAACTGCTAGTCAAAATCACTTGCTATCTCCAGGGCCCAACGTGGTCCTCATATCTCATCATTGCTGGGTTTTGGAGGGGGTAGTCCTCATTGTTTGGAGGTTCAATAGTGGTGTTCAATAGTTGTTACACACGGTTCAATAGTGATTCATGCAAATGTCAATTACACACCCATGATAAATAGTCGCCCTGGAGTAGATAGAATCTGGATGAAAAAAACACATCACTAAAATGGGAAGATGTTTGAACATTTGAAAATCACACATTCTATCTACTTCAGCTATCGACTTCAGGATGAAGTATAATTACAAACCAACTTATGTGGATAGGAAGCACCACTTTGCAGACTGCGTCACTTGGCCTAGCCCCCCGCAGCCGCTTTTGGCTCCTGGAAAAAGAAACGCCAAAGACGTCCCTGCAGACACGCACGGAAACGTGGTGCGACTGCAACTGGGTGTGACTTGGCAAGGAGATATACTGCCGTCATTTGGAAAACCTTGGGTTGGGATTTCGTGGCATTGGTTTAATCAACGGGTCATTGTTTCAGCAACAAATGGTGGATGTTTCATATGCAGCTGAAAGTTAACGTGTTTGAGTATTTTATACTTGTCATAGCAACCCGTGGTCAAGAAAATGAACAAAAAACATAATAGTATTCACGACACTGTGCGTCAGCCTTCGATTGCCAGGGGATGTTTGCCGGTTCCAGCTGTCATGCCAGGACGTCACCGATGCTGAAGCGATGCTTCCAGTGTTGCTGATCTGCTTGCTATGGCCAGCCCTGGCTGAGGCATCTCTCCTTCAAACTGATCCTGAGATGAATTCGGTGGAGCGGGGCCAATAACTCGCCAAGGGCTGCAGGCCATTTTCCCCAATTCGTTGTTTTTTTTGTGCGTGTTTCCATTCATCGATATTGAAAACAATGGATTGATGGGCAGTCACTGAGGCTGTGAAGAGGCCAGTGATTCCATGTGTCATCCATCAGACAGCCAAGAGACTCGGAAGCACCAGGATCGCAGAAATGCCCCAGCTGAGCTGTCGATGTCTATAGGCTGTATAGGCTGCATGCCAACTGACTATTTAGTTGATCTCCCAATCCAAAGCCTATTTAAACATCCGTATTTAAACATTGGATATTAATGGTAATTTCGGCAGTTGGTTTTCACAGGTGTGCATTCCGCGTGCCTCAAATTCTTAGCCTTAGAGATGAAGGAATTACCTGAAGGGGAACCCTTTATTCATTGGATTGGTTCAGGGATGTTAAGGGAAAGTCTACAGACAAATCCCATATTTGATTGACAGGAAATCCCTATATTCATGGTTTCCTGCAGATTTTCGTAATCAATCCGCCGATCGATTGTGGGAAATTTCACGGTCGATTTCGCCGCAAGCTGAGGAGGCATCAGCTTCAGGAGAACGAAAGTCTGTGGGCCGAAACTTGGAGGGCGAAGAATCCTCAGTGTCACTTGGTTGCCAGGTTAGCCACGGTGAGCCGTTCAAAATGCCTTGGTTGATGGGTTAAGAGCTAGGGGCTCATACCTAATCATTGATATTTATTGGGGATTAGGATAGCCCATTGTAGGGAAGTCTATCAATGTAGCTGTACCTGGTATATATATAATTATATATATACATATGTGTATATATATATATATATAATGAGATGGGATATTTTACATGGCTCAAGTGGGTCTCGATATGGGGGATACCAGCAATTTTATGGCGATATGTCATGGTGATTGATATACAATGGGAACACAACGGGCAGACAATGCGAATCTGGGATAACGATATACTAGGTATTTGAGGATCACTATCAGGGCACGGTGAGCTGATCAGAGGTAATCACAGCTGCCAGTTTGTGATTTGATATGTCCCTGACATTGCTGAAGATGATGATTTGTCTTGAAACATAAGGAAAAAACACACACATATACACACACATATATATATATACATTGTCAAGTGTTTACCCCACTGTTGATCTACAAGAGGCATGTTTTCGTTTTTGATTATGGACCCCTCAAGCAATTCCAAGTCATTATCACATTACATATCCTGATATCATGGAATGTGGTCATATAGTGTGATTTGATGGTGGGAATCATCATGAATTTTATCGTTGGATCTTGTGGACTTGTTCAATCTATCCAACAATTATAGATAGTATGATATTCCGACTTTATATTCCTACTTTATATTCCATAAGAGTGGGAACATAGCCCAAGAGAAACTGCAGAGCTATCAAAACTGGTTATAATCTCTAGTAACCTGACATTTCCATGGAAAGTCCACATGTTTTCATGGGAAATCATTTGTAAAATGCTTCATGTGCCACAGCTATGTTCGATTTACCCGCTGAGTGCACCATGGCACAGAGGTGAAGGATTGCTGGGTGTACAAAGTTACTATATACTAGGAAACAGTGCAAAGAACATGTTTGTATAGATAGAAGATGATAGAAGTTAGAGATGGCGAAGGAGAGAGTTAGAAGTTAGAAGTTAAAAACACGGATCAAGCAGTGTTTCTGAGAAGGATTGGGTAGGTAGTTATTTGGGTGTGATTGAAAATGGGGTACCGTACCCCAAAATTTGATGGTCGATCAGTTTATCATCACATTGGCCATGGTTTGGTACTTCCAATTTTCAGGCACACCCAGATATCACACATCAAGCTGTTTCTACATCCCAAGTACCATTATCCCATTATATCCCCATATTATGCTGCTTGTAATATACTAATATACTGTATCCCCATTAAATATCCCTTATATAAATCAAACCAAATCACCATAAATGCAGTTTCGTTCTTTTCATGGAGGGGCTGCTTTTGTTTTGATCATGGACGACTTGGCCTCCCCAATCCACTCATGATTTCACCGGAGGCAAATACAAACTCTGGAATGACACAGCGACTTGCCATGCGAGGGAGGCCACATAAACAGATGGATGCGTAGAACAAGCAAGATACCAGTACTTATCGCCAGATACACATGTACTGTATATTATTCGCTTTTCTGTGATTTATTTGCACAAATACATGCATGTGCAGTTATATGCATATAAATATATATATATATATTCAAATATTTATTTATCCATTCATTCATTTATCATCTCTTTACTATATGCGCACATACAGTGTATAAATATATGCAATAATAAATATATATATATATGCAAGCTTTTTGCTGTGTGTAGGTTTTCTATTATTCTATGTTTGTTTTGTTTTTTTTTTCGGGTTTTCACTGGGTCATGGGTCAATGCTCACAGGATCACTTGGTTTTTATGGGAAACCGCTCTGCCAGGTCATTGAGTATTGGATGTTTTGGCAGGCAACCTGCCATAAACACCTAGCAGCGTTTGGGGATTATTGCTTTGGCCAATTGTTCATGGTGTTTATACAATTTAATGGTGGTAAAACTATACCATTAATGGTGGTTAATAGTGATTAATAATGTTTATAGTGGTGTTATATATGGTGACTAATAGTTCTTAATGATTATTAATGGTCATGACTAGTTGGTTCATTAATGGTCACTATACTTAACTATAGTGATTAATGGTGATATGTTCATGGTATATTAACAGTATAAACATGGTAATGATTTGGGGATGGTTCATGACATGACGGGTGAATTTTCCACTGGGGTTCAACAGGAGATTGCCCAGCTGGCAAGAACCAGATCGCCAGCTCTCATGTGGCCCATTTGGGAAGGCGGAATCCCGGAGAGAGTTCGGCTGAGAGAATCGACATGGGAAGAGGGAAAAATCCTGGCCAAAAACATTCGTTTTTTTTTGAACTGGTCAAGTCATGAACATGTATGAACATGCTGGTGCAAATCAAACTACTGTAGTTTGGAAGTCGAATTTTGGGTTGTTTTGGCTATTTTTGGCTCTCGGGAATAGGTGAAACATTCGATAGTTCCACATCTAATTTAGATGAAACAACATAACTTCATGGCTTCAACAGACACCACATTTTCGCGGATTTCTCATGTTTTTTTGGGTGTTTGGTGCTGATCCCAAAATGTGACCCACCCGGCTGGCAAGGCTTGTGTTGTGGCCATGGGGCCCACAGGGTCACCATGAACGTTCGAGGAGAATCAACTTACACGGGTGTGTCATGGTTTGTCTGAAAATATGCTATAATATGGTACCTCAAAACTCAATTGGTCATGATTCTCCCCCTGAAAATTGGCAAAGATTGGGGGTGAGCAATCTCTGAAATCAACGAAATCAACTTCCAATTTAGCTAGTTCACCCCACTTCCGCAAGGTCATCGCTCTAGCCAGGCTTGACGCCCGTGCAGCGTGCTGATGTCTTCAGATACCTCGTGTTGTGGGATCAGGGTGGCTACTATGCTGACGTGGATGCTGCGTGCACTCTCCCGATTGATCAGTATAAGATACCCAAGGACCCTTGAAGAGTTCGAATTCAGACCTGGTCCGGACAGTCTCTGGAGATGTCTATACAGGGTAAGCCAACTGCATATACAGGCTTAATGCTGGTCATTGCTGGTCAATGTTCGTTTAATGCCATCTGTGCAAAATTGTCCCCAGCCAAAAACACGTTTTGCTGATTGTTTGAGATTGGAAAGCACACTACCATATGCTACCTATTAAAATTTGTTATAAACTATCATATATATATATGTATGTATATGCATATGTATATATATATATACATACATTGTAAATCATTACATTATGTATTCATTGTTGAATATCTTTGACTTAGATAACCAACCCGCATACACTTGCCACAGGCCATGCTTTTGCGTCCCTGGCCATCGGAGATAGATTAGAATAGATTAGATTCGATTCTATAAATTTGATTTGAATAAATATATATATATACACATAGATTAGATGAGATTAGATCAGATTAGAACTGATTAGATTCGGAAAATATATAATAGTTTCAGATTCACGTTCAATTCCATCCCAAAAACATCCAGCATGACACCAGTTCTTTCAGGAGGCCAGCATGATCGTGGGCTACGAAATGGGACATCGCTTGAAGGAGAAACGTCGTGCAGAAATTAAGTTCGCGCGCATGGAGCAGTTTCAGCAATGGTTCTTGGCATCTGCTCCAGGCTGGTAGGGAAATGTTTCTCGCGCGGGTAGAAACGGGGGAGTTTCCATTGCCATGTTTCATTATTTTCATGGCCGGAAGGTAGTTGTCAGATGTTTGGGTTTTCACGGAAACGTTGTCAGATCATGAAATCGTCTAATCATACAGGATCTGCAGGGATATGAGACGCATTTATCATTAAACATATGCCCGTGGATATACTTCAAATACCTTGACTCATCCCATGTCCCATCTGTCCCAAGGACGATCTGGATGCGTCCCTGGAAACTCTAAGTTACACAAAAAAGATACAAAAAGAACAGAAGTGGAAGATGGATTTGTATGGGTTTGTAATCTGGTTGGTGGTTTGGAACATGTTTTATTTTTCCATATATTGGGAAATATTGGGAATAATCATCCCAGCTGACTAATATGTTTCCGAGGGGTTGAAACCACCAACCAGTTTATACATTTATACTACCGAAAATGGTCGGTGGTCCCACGACGTTCCACCTTTTTCATCCCTGCAAGTTTCTTGAAGCATTCATACCTGGCTGTAAAGCAAGTGGCCCATTGATATGTTTCTTTATGTAGCCTTTTCCAGGGGGCTAAACATGGAAATGATCAAAAGGGTCACATTGAGTGGCCTGGCATATGCGTTTTTCCTTCACCCCAAACACCCAAAAACGCGTTTCACAGAAGTGTCAGGTAGCAGTTGCCACTTCACCATCCAAGCAGTGCCTAGAGACCCAGTGCATCCGTGGTAGGTAATCCGGTGCTGCTGCGGTGCATGGAGTTGATCCGTCAAAGATACACCTGGAAAATTGAAAGCACTTTGGGGCTGACAGGCAGGATAGTTCTGGGGAAAGCATGTGAAAAAACATGATGAAAACATGATGACTCTAGATGAGATCTTGGGGAAAATGCAGCTTCATCGGCATATAGATCTAGCTTACGAAGGGTTTTCCATTCGTATGGGATGATGTGTAATTTCCAAAGGTACTGTGATACACTGCCGTGACAATTGTTACTGCTAGACATTGTTTGCTTCTGTCCTTCTTTGGCCTGTGGATTTGCACTACCTCTGTTGTTTGCATTTTATCCCAGCTTTCATTGACAATGGATTTATCCATTGACAATGGACTCATACAGGACATTCGTTGTATGTCCATGTTACGTATTGATTTTTCTTTTGCTCATTGTGTGTGCTTCATGGTATGTTGGCTGGTAGTCTACCCCCAGCATGTTTTCGGAGAGAGGCACCCTCATGTTTCACAACTAGTTTAATGTTAATGTGTGGATGATACCGGTCAGATCCATTTGGGTTATACACCCAAGAAAAAGGACCTAAAAAAGAGTTAGAAACGTCAATTCCAACTAAACTCCAGTGATTCATATCTAGATATAACATGATATATTTTGTTCCACCTAATATACTATGATATAATATGATCATATAATATAATATATCGTACTTTACCTTTGCGGTGTCTTGGTGATGTGACGCGCCTGGCTAACGAGCTTGGGTGCTGACCTGCCACGTCGCCTTTTTAGCTCGCCTTCAGCTTGACTGCTGATCTCCTGAGATGGCGATGGAGAGAGAGAGACATATAATATATCTAGACAATTATAGTATCATATGATATTAATAGATAGTAATATCTACAAATAATAGGATCATATAATAGGATCATATATATATATATATACATTACTAGGATCATGTGTTGTTCCATCCTTTTGGAGTTTATGCCAGGCCCCGGAGTTTTCAGCGACGCGGTCCAAGAGTTTCTGCAGCAAGACGACCACAGAGCTGTGGAAGAGGAGGTCTACCCGGGTTCCCGTACTAGTGCTTAGTAGAGAATGGGGGAATGAGATGATTGTTAATAGATGTTAATCATTTTAGTGTGCTATAATAATCCCCCAAAAAGGTTTTTTTGAAAGTCAGGTGCCACTATTTTACTGGGAACTGTTCTATCTTTTTGGGGATGACTGTAGATGATTAAAGATCATGCCCTCATTTCCTACGTTTAGTACCAGTAAGTTCCCATGTCAACCCACCCGGTATTTCTTTTAGAACTTACTCTGCTCGTGTCATCAATAGTACAGTATTGGAATATAAGTGATGAATCATGTGGCAAACTCAATAATTTAAGATCTTATAAAATCAACCATACAATTTTTCGTAGCTGTTTCCAGGAAAAAATATGTTAACTTTAACCATACAAATCGGAGCTTATCGCATTGCAACTTATTTTGTTTGCCACAATTGGATTTAACACAGGGGGAAAAAGACAAACCAACTAAAACCATGCACGTCCTTAGAAATCCGCAATACAATATCCAAATTTGTAATTAGGGGTGGGGTTGGGGTGGGGTGGGGGTAACAACATGTAACTGTAACAACGTCCGTGTCAACTTGAACACGGACTGTATGTTGTGCACATGGGGGTGGGGTTGGGGTGGGGCAATAACGTTCAAGTTCATGTCAACTTGAACACTTGCACACATCCGTCATGCTTCGCTCTGGGATCTTTTCCCTTGCGTTTTCACACATGCGTTATGCTACGCTCTGGGACCTTTTCTTGCACTTACACGCATCCGTCATCCTACGCTCTGGGTTCTTCTCTTGCACTTGCGCACATACGTCATGCTACGCTCTGGGATCTTCTCTTGCACTTGCACACATACGTATGTCATGCTAGCATGTCACGCTCTTTCTTGTTACATATACATAGATATATTTACGTTACCTTTGGAGGTGCAACTTTCTAATTGATGCACGCCCACATACCAAACATTTGCGAACCATGGTGTCCTGGAAACGACCAATGGAACGAACAATTTACTATTCAACAAAACCATTCTTAAACTCCATACAAGTGTTTCATGCTCATGTTCCAATGATATGCCACATCTGATGCATTCATAAATTCATGAATGCAAAAGTTAGTTTTGGACATTTGATTTATACCCCTGGGAAAATTGTAAAGACCATTGTTTCCCTTCAAATATACGTTAAGTTCAATAACAAAGAACCTAAAACTGCCTGTATTTGACTGTTCCGAGCACATTCCAAAACAAATGAACCAAAACAAATAGAAACACATTTCTTGTCCTGATAAAGATTAAACAGGGTTTCTGTGGACGTGCACCATTGCACCCTAATAACTAAAAATCAGGTCTTTTGCAGGGCACCAAAGATTGGCCATGGTTCAACCTGACGCCAGTTGTCTCATATCTCGACCAGGTGCGGATCCGCAGAACTCCGAAGGTGCATTTCTTAAGCTATCCCAGTGAGACGCTCTATGGCTCCGGCTCCTTGACTTTCACTTTCCTGGTGGACGCGGAAGTGGCAGGTCATGTGGTTTTAGGGGATTGCTGCGGTTGGTTGTTGCCTGGATCTTGTCTTATTTTCTACAGAACATTCTTATTTAGGACTTAAATGGTGGAATGTTACATATATACATATATATATATATATATATGGTATGTGTATAAATAATTATACATATATATATATATGTATATATATATATGTATAATCTGTGTGTGTGCACATGTTGTATTAAACATTATTTGCATACATGGTTTCTTCAATACTTACATTCCTGTCTCTACTTTCAAAACCGCCTGGGCCCCAAATGATTGTGAATGTTTGACGCCGGAGTGATCCTGCAGAAGGCACTCATACAGACCTCTCTCATCCTCTCCCTCTCTCTCTCTCTATCTTATATACAGTATATATATATATTATTATTATTACTATTACTATTATTATTAAATATGATATAAATATTCATGTGTATGTATACATTGTATTTGGGGAAACCACAGGTGGTGTTTGCTTCTTTCGGTTCCAGGGCGAAGAATTAATTCCCACAAGATGCATCTAAATAGATTTGTTAAAATGGGGATGGGTCCAAATTGGATCGGAATTCTGGCTCCCAGATCCTGATTCTTGTCTTCAAAAATAACCTCACAGGTATCGTCTCCACTAATCTCCAATAGTCCCTTGAGGACCAACATGGAACCCGCGCAAACAAAACATTGAAGGTTTAAACTTTGAAAGTTTCAAGTCGGCCCAAAGCCAGGTTTTTCAAACCATATTTCAATCAGATACAAACCTGAAATAGGCTGTTTTGGAGATTAATCATTTTATGTTTTATGTTTCAACTATTTGTAGGGGTTAAAGCTATAAATTTGGCTTAAACGCTGCCTATTCGATCCTATTCGTCTAAAATACCTGTGAACATGGGTACAATGCGGTATTAACCAGCCTGCCTTGATATGAGATGACATTCCTGTTGGAAATTGCAATTTCGAACACGGCATGTTTTTTCCCTGAATGTTCAATGAACATCAGCGTTACATCCTGATATTTCATGGGATATTCCGTGGTGTTCAATAGGTTTTCCATGATTTTCCCTTCATCCAACCAGCCTAACTCGGGATCTTCCGGGGCGCCTTTTGGTTCAACGCCAGGTTTGTGGAAGATGTGGCTCTTGGCCGCGGGCCGCGCCAAGGTGTCGGCCATGGTGGCACGGGAGGATCCTGGAGAGGTGCGCTGCTCAAAAGCCCTTTTGGTTGATGATTGTAGGGGATGATACTACTGTACCCAATATATTGGGGATTATTACAATCCAAGAACGGGGATTATATAATATTACTATTGGGGATACAATAGGGGATTATCAATATATTGGGGATACAAAATAGTAATTAAATAGTAATTAATATTGGATGTAGGGGATTACAACAATCCAATGTATTACTATTAAGTACAATACCCTATTTTTTGGGGGATTATAAGAATCCAATACTAATATATTCGGGATGAAGAATCCTCAATACCCTCTGGTAATTTAACGTAGCTATGGAAAATCACCATTTTTTATAGGAAAACTCACTATAAAGTGCCATTTTCAATAGCTATGTTAAATTACCAGAGGGTACCCAATATATTGGGGATTATAACAATCCAAGAACGGGGAATCCCTATTCAACCAGGTAATGGAATGACAGAGGGGGTTTGAACACTGCTCACATATCGTTATTAATGGTGATGAATGGTTATGACTAGTTGGTTAATAATGGTCACTATACTTATATAATTAATCTTAATATATCTTAATTATGTTTCATGGCGAGGAATATGGGTTGTTCATGGTTATGAATGGTTATTAGTACAATAATGAAGGCATTTAGTGGCTTGATAATGGTTATTTTTGGTTTTTACCAATTCTCTGAAAATAGGGAATGCCATTTGTCTGGGTCAATTATAATGACCCCACTGAGACCTCACTGGAATGATAGTAATGATAACTATCCCTAAATTGCATTTGTTCAGGCTAGTGAAGTATTTCAATTTACCCAGATTGAATTGGCCAGTCATAACTTTCCCCATTAAATGGCCATTTAGAAGGTATTGTATGCCCGATTGACAGAACCATTTTACAACCATAGGGATAAACATGATTAAAATGGACATGTTGGGGATGGTTTATGACATGTATATAGTTTATGAATTAGTGGCGTATAGCCAACTTGAGATTATTTGGGCGAGTCTGAAATGGAGTATACCTCCCAAATGACAATTTTAAGAGGGATAATGATGATTATCCACTGGATTTCCGGATACTGTCGTTTTAGACAAACCCAGATAGAGCCCTCGTCTTCAGATACTTGAATGTGGGATTCAGCCAATTTCATCAACCATCCTCACAATCGCCATTCTTGTGGGTGGGATTGAATCCATCCCCAAATGCTAGGTTTATTATTGGGTTTCCCACATCCGTCAGATTTTGTATGTGTTTTGTATCTATATATACATATATAATTTTGGCATTGCCAAAATCCCTGGTGATGAGTTAGAATATGGTGCTATACGTCACACATAATTATGACAAATGTTGGGAAACCTTATCAGCCAACCAGTATATTATAAAGGAATGACAGGGAGCTTTGGACACTGCTCTCTCAGCGCTCACTCAATCGTAAACATGGAGTTTACCAAGCGAAACTGGGGGATACAATTGGACATTTACCCAGTTGGTGGTTTCATTAGAAGGAGCTAGCATGATGATCCCAATTGATATCCTTTGATGAATATGTTTCCCTGGGTTGAAACCGACAAGCCAGATGAGGGATCCTTTCAGCAACTGGTACATTGAGGCAGCTTCTTTTGTAGCCCAAGCAAGGAGTAGCAAGGAGTGAAAACCACTTGCTGCTTATACCTGGGTCATCAGTGTTGAAACATGTTATGTACCAGCTTAACAGTACATGTCCAAATTAATCCACTCACGCAAGTATACACCAGTACAAGTTCCATTCCCCCCAACAGAGACAAGGAGGCATGGGTAGCCATATTTATGTATTTGCAGTTTTATTGAACATGTCAATAAATAGTGTTTTCCTATTATATCATAGTGTTAAATTATATCCCAAAAAAAAACAGTGGCCAGGCATTAAAATGGACACAGTCATTGGATGTCAGCACATGGACAATTCAACGGGATGCACCCGCAGGCGCCTCAGAATCTGGTGAAACACTACTTTGCCGGCTCCTGGAAGACCGCGGCCTGGTGGACACAGAGCAAGGCTTTCTCAGCGAGGGTTGAAAAAGAAGAGATACTAAGATTTTAATCTTAAATTTGAGGATGAACTGATGAACTTTGCTCAAACTGAGATATGGAGTCATAAATAGGGAAGAACATAGAAAACTTAGGGACTCTACAATTTTGATGTCGAGTAAGTTTTCTGTTTGTTATTTTTTCACCTCCTTCCCATCAACTCAGAAACGAATGCAACAGTATGAGAAAGTTAAACTCCATTTGATCTAGAAGCCGGCTGCACATTATAGCCGGATTGGTTGCTTGGCCGCGACTGGCTTAAACACGGAGCACCAATCGGCCCATAAATTTTAGATGTGATACTTCTTAGTGTCATAGGAGTCATATCATTTACATCTTCAATGGTCGTTGGTTCATTTTTAGATTTTATCTCATGCCATTTATGTATATATATGCATGTAAATGTACATATACACATACACATACATAACATTACATAACACAACATAACATAATATACATACATACACATTTTCTTTCTGTGTTTACTTTCGTTCTTACTCTCTTTACTTTATTACTTTCATTTTCACTTACATACATAGATAGATACATAGATGCATAGATGCATAGATACATAGATAGATAGATAGGTAGATAGATAGATAGCTAGGTAGATAGATAGATAGATACATACATAGATAGATACATAGATACATATATATATATATATATACACATACATCCCTACATACATCCGTACATCCATACAGGCACACATGCATACATGCATACATGCATACAGGCATACATGCATCCATGCCTACATACCTACATACCTACATACCTACATACCTACATACCTACATACCTACATACCTACATACCTACATACCTACATACCTACATACCTACATACCTACATACCTACCTCCTACGTACCTACATACCTACATACCTACATACCTACATACCTACATACCTCCATACCTGCATACCTACATACCTACATACCTACATACGTACATACGTACATTTGTGCATACGTACACACATATATATATATATATATTTATACATGCAAAGCATGGCTCCAGTGGAACGTTCTTCCCCGTACCCTGCTAGTTGTCAAGGAGAAGGACTTCGAATCCCGAAGAGCGTCCGTGTGATTTTGAGAAAAAAACGAGAGAGCTCGTCACGATGGAACTATCACCGGGAGGGTTCTTGCTGCTACCCCCCACACGTGGCCGAAATAGAATTTCCCATTTTTGCACAACAACACCTTCAAAATGGTGTTTTTTTCTCTGGATTGGTCATTTTCGATTGCCAGGTGATACAGAATGAACAATGCCCAGTTGATGCATGGTGGCTGATGGTCAACTGCCGATCTCATCCTACAAGAAAAGGAGATGCTACACTCCAGAAATCGTGATTGTTTAACGAATGCATTGCTTCATACTAGTAGGTTGTTGCAGTGTTCCCGGGGGATGAACATGTTCCGAACGCCTCTCTTTTGCTCGAACAATAGAAAAATCTTGATCCACACTTCGTACATTCCTTTAGATTTCTCTTGATTTCCAGCCGCAGTGACCCTTGGATGAGACAGCATTTAAACGGGCTGGAAGAGCCACGGGAAGGCCAAACATATGGAGGATTGAAAAAACAAAGATAGAAAGTGTCACTAGATTCACATTGTTGTTGGTTTAGGAGGTTCCCCCTTTGGCATCCTTTGGCAATCAAACATATCACATTGAGAAATTGAGAAATGTATTATATATACATATATATCTATAGATCATACGTCCCCAGTGGGATAATGTACATTTACAATTAGAATCAACTATAGATCTTTATTGGATGCTTCCTATGGCTCGCATTGGTCTGATCACTGTGGGGTACTTGCTGCACTAGAAACAAGCTGCAGTCAGATTGCACCAATGGAAACATGCTATCCTTCAAAAATCAAACATGGCTAGCTGGGAAATCCCCAAGAAAAGAACATAAATGAGGGTTTTGACGGGATTTTTGGGAACTAAATGGGGAAACTTCCCATTGTGTGACTACCAGATGGTAGCATAATGTAACATACAGATCCAAATTCCATTAGATGCGCGTAAATAGGTTGGTGTTTTTGGTGAACATCACCCTCAAGACTGTTCTGTTGCCATACTTTGACCATCTTTGACCAATCATACAGGTTTCCAAAATCCAGGGCTTCCTTGTTTCCCAGTGACATGCTACAGTACTACAGTACCACCAAGCCCAAGCCATCCCATGATCAGCGCCAAGGAATCATCCGTACGCAATGTCTCGGATGCTTCTCTGGTCCCTAGCCCTTGCCGGTGCAGTGGCCGAAGAGTGCAACTCAATGCTGCAGACTGAAGCTTGGCCAATTCGGTCCTCAAGGGTGAACCGTTCTGAAAGTGAACCTTATAGTAAGCAAACAACACACAATGTGATGTATATATATATATATGTCATTTATGATAAACAGCTCATTGTAAAATATTGTAAATATAACTAATCAGGGCAAACCAAGTAAAGGACATATATATATATATATAGAATATGATGTATATATATATATATAGGTGTACACATATGTCAGCCATGAAGCCAGCCATGAAGTCGTCCAGGATCTTCGAAGCGCCAGTGGTATGATGAGTCGCCTTGACTTCAAGCATGCACTGGAGGAAGGCCCCGGACATCCGTGGTCGTTTACATATTGGGATGGAGCGAAAAACAGATCAAAACACAGAGCTCGTATTTTTTGGAAACAACATATTTTTCCGGGATGTGCATCCAGTTTCCAGCTATGATGTTCAGCAGGGTTGCAGGGTTTCAATCCATACCCATATCTATCCAACCTAATGTAATCAAATCTATATAAATATAAATATAAATCTAGTCTAATCCAACCTAATGTAATCAAATATAATCTAATCTCATCTGATCACCATTAACAAACAGTATGCAGTGTACACATTTCAAGCCACTTACCAAGTGGGAGGCGTCTTCAAACATATTTTTTGTTTGTCAGTTTTGCGAACTCACCAACCGTTGGTTGGTCAAACCACGTGGTGAGGGGCTGGGTTTACCCAACAAAATCATCGTGATTTTTTGGGACGGCAACAATTATAACTATATTATAAGGGTGAGTTTTTTTGCCCTATCATTGCCATACACCAAGACCAATGTTGGAAGCGAAGCCCAGCTAGAAAACAATTGTGCAGCTGCAATTCATGTATTTCACAAATATGGCTCTCTGTCCTGTCACAGCCAGCCTAATCTCTGTCCTGAGAGGCAGATCATTCAGCCAAACCGGGTCTATCACCAAATGCCCTCCTGGATCATCCGTATCACACACACATGCATAGGCTTTATGCCTGATCATGCATTATCGTCATAGAATATAGTGTTTTGTTACAATGCTAAATGTTTATAAGTATGCTGTGTATATAATTGTATGTGTACATATATATATATATGTGTGTGTGTGCACGCGTGCATGTGTGCGTGTGTGCTTCTAAGGGTTTTTGGTGTAGTTGATACCTTCCGAACGTGATTCATAGTAGCAGGGGGTGCCAGGGGATCGAGTGAAGCTGACACCAACGAAGACCTTTACTCTTTCCTGTGATATGAAAACGGGACACCATTTTCACGTACCTGCTAGCTTAGTTATGATACCTGTTCTTCCTCTAGGCTGTTTCAGGTAAATAAAACAAGGCTCAGCTGATTGTCAGTTTGCAATGGCGCGGGGCTAAGCCTAGAACCACAAACATGAAGTTCATATGTCATTTTACAATTCAGTTTTTGGATCTGTGACCCAGTCACGCGGCGCAAGGCCTTTCTGGGATTGGATTTCCAGATGTCATAGAACTGACAAGAGAAACAAACATGATCAATGGACCAATCAGGACTCCATACAGCATGCGGTCTTTCAAGTGTGTATTCGGCCGAGATTCCGTCATGGTCCGGTCGTGGTCCGTTGATTTGCCGGTCCGTCCTTGTTCAGCTACCACAAGGCATGACCAACGCACAGTGATTTCTTTTCTGTGACAAGCTTGATTCTTCACGTGAGGCAAAAAGGCTCCCCAACTGATCCGTTTGATTTAACTCAATTTGATCAAATAATTTGATTTTGATTATCGACTGATTGCCTCTGATTTGGGATCTCGATCCCATGATTGCCTCAAGAACTTCGGAGCTTGCTCCATGATTACGAACAAGTGGGAGCCAAAAGATTGTCCAAGGAAAGAGAGAAAAGACGAAGAACAACAAAAAATACTGATATATGAAGATGTTTCGCTTTAGGATTTTCTACCATTGTCATGGTACAACTTCAATTACACTGTGTACAGACCAATGTCGTAGTCAGTTCGGCTCACCCGGCTTATGTGATTTTTAAGGTCAACCAGTTGCTTGATGGCGTACAGCTGATTTACAGATTCTAGTCTTCTCTACTCAGTAGGGCAGTGTGACAAGCGTCTGTCACCACTACTTGTTGTTTTAGATTTTGTCCTGCCTTTAGCCACGACTTACAATGCGTTTATTTCATCGCGGGTGACTATGCAATGTCCCAACCTAAGCCACCTTCGGAGGCCCAAGGCCGGACAAACCATCATTGGTAATTCATTCCTCGACTGCAGGGCGACCCGGGCGGCTTCGGTGATTTCTGACAGTGCTGGCCAGTTATTCGCTCGAGGCCAAATAGAAGTGACAGCCAAAGCTGCACCTTTGACTGCTCGGAGTTTAATCTAACAAGATCGAACTCATGGTAGTCAGACACCACGAAGTCATCGGTAGGCTAGTCTCGAGAACGTCGACGTAGAGATTCCAGGTCTCGACCAAGAACAGAAAGAGCAAGACATAGTGATCTTGGTTCCCAGGAGTGTGGCATGATGTCCCACCTCTTCAACCACTTCCTCCTCCAACTTTACCACCTCCTTCTCGACCACTACTCGCTCCTCCTCCTCCGCCTCCTCCTCCTCGACCACCAGTGACAGCCAGATTCAACGCATTTCCTGACACCACGATATTCGTTATCATTTGTCTAGTCAAAACTGTACAGACAAGCCCAGTTCCGGGGCATTCTTAGGGTACGTGGCCACATTGTTGGCAAGAGCAGATCTTCGCAGTACTGATCTAGGATCCCTTAGGCAGGATGAATGTGATCCGTCATATTACAGTCAACCTGTCCACAACAAAATCCGATTTTATATTTTACCGATTCCAGCCTTGAAGTCTCTCGCAGGACATGCCGATGATATCCCGCCAGAAGTCCGCAGGGCAGTTCCGGATCGATCGGTCACAGAGATCGCTCATGTAGGTTTTGTACATGCTACAGCTAGATCTAACTTTGTTCAGATTTTAAAGGAGGGCAAACTTGCGGAATCAAAACTTCAGTCTGATTCTGAATCATTTTTCGCCAAAGCATACAAGTTGTCATACACTGATTGTGACAACAATGAGACAGCACGTATTGCACACACATTACATACAGCTTGGAATCTCGCCAAGAACGAAGCCCGTGTATTGCTGCTTGGACTAGCATGGGGCACAGCGGAGACGGTCCACCAGGGAGGAGAGGGCCGATGCATCGAGCTCAGAAAAGGCCCTCAAGGTGGCTGCGTCCATCATAAGAATGGGACGCATGTGGGTCATTGCTACTCCCATTCGTTCTTTGAAAGCACTTGCATGTGTGGCGATCTGATGCTCGACGACCTACGTCGCTGTTTGGATGATTCACCTTCCTCCTCTCTCCCTTGTTTGGTTTTCCTTGCTGACCGTTAACGCAGCTTGACTTTCAATTTCAGTCCGACTTCTTTTACTCAGCAGTAATTCACCCTTTGCGACTGTGAAACAGTTGTCTGGATCCGAACACCTTTTGATCCACTTTTTGGAGACAAATAGAGAGTCAGATCTTTTCGCGCTCATGACATGGCCATTCAGCTGTGCATGCATACCTTGTCTGTCGATGTCGAATTGTGAACTTGGGGATTTCGTTCTATAGTTGTGACTAGTTGTTGTTTGTTGCGATCTTCAAGTTTCAAGAAAAGTGTCCCAGTGGCAATCTGTTGAAGTAAGCCAGATTTGATTGGATGTCATGATGGCTCAGACCATTGTCAATTCAATCTTTTCGACCGATTGTCCCTCACCCATGTCTCGATCGTGGTCCCGTCAATATTGGAACAATTGGGAAGATCATTCGTACTCCCAACGGCAACCTTCGCTTTCTCCTTCGTTTACTCCTGATCTCCCAGCCCACTGGAAAGAGACTGATGTGCACTATGGTGAGAATGGTTTGCATGGGTACCCATTGTTTAAGACCATTCAACCCACGGCTTGGTCTCGAAAACGGGGCCTCCATGGTATGGATCCTGTGCAAGTACCGTTGTTGGCATTGTGCAGGTACCAATCCCAGGAATTCGCCTTGCGAACTACTCGTTCGTTTTCAAGTAATTATTTGAAGCTGAAATCAGAAGGATGGAAGTTCCAGTTTAAATCCAACCTCCGGTCAAACTCGGCCCACGGTAATTTCAAAGGCTGAGACGACGTTTGAAGACTGTAGGAACTGTTCCCAGTGAACATTTTCATCAGCAGAATGCCTGGCAACTTTTATATAGTCTCAGTCTCTTTACGCGTGGGAGCTTTGAGACCTGCCAGCGCATAAGATCCGGTGAATTCGGCACTCTTGAGGTGTATGCCGTATGCATTGTATCGTTTAGTTGCACATATGGAAGAACCCAGCAGATTTCGTGTGGGTAGTTTAATCTCAAAGGCTTTGCAGTTTCGAAACGCAACCGTGCCTAAGAAGAACCTACCATTTTCCCTTCCTTTCCTGGCGCGCTCTGATTTTAAACAACAGGTTCAGTTATGGTTGAGACAAGTAGTGATTCCATCAAAGGAATTGGCTATTCCATTTTTCTACCTACTCATCGAATTCGTGAAGCTGCTCATCCTACTCTTCGAGAATTTTTGCACAACCACCGCAAAGTGGAACGTCGGTGGGTGACCTCAGATATTGATCCATTACCATGCTGTTGCGAAGAGCTTCGCAAAATGATTACCTGCTCAACACCTTTTATTTACAACACTTACAACACTTACATCACTTCAGGCACTTACTGAAAATATTAGTACTGAATCGAACTTATCATATCTTTAAAAACCGATTTGAACTTATTTTTTTGAAACATCCAAAGCCTTGGAACCTATAGTGTGAAGGAATGAAGTTTGGTACATGTTTTTAAAAATAAAATAATCGAAAATAAGAAATAAAACGGCGAAAAAAACAAGTTTTAAGTTTAGATTGTGTTTCTTCGTCTAGTTTTTTTTTTCTTTCGGTAAGTGTTCTTAGCAGAAAGTTTCCTTTTCAGGAAATCATCCTTTTCAGGAAAAGTTTTTTCCAAGAATTTTTCTTTTCAGAAAATATTTGGTTATTTTAGATGTTTCTATAAGCAGCGTGCCAAGAAGAGATGATAGCTATAGAGATGACAGCTTTGGATCATAACATACATTGTGTTATAGTTGTTTGTAATGGGCCTTAAAATAAAATACAATTATTGTATTGTATGTTCGGAAATAAAATTTGGATAATATATATAGGTTAAACAGGAATTAATATTTTAAGGAAAGAACATTCAAAACAAATGAAAAATCAGAAAATTCAGATAATTCAGAAAACACAGAAAATTCAGAAAACCCAGAAAATTCATAAGTTCAGAAACTTCAAAGAATTCAGAAAACACAGAAATTCAGAAAATTCAAAAAACATAGACAATGCAGAAAAAATCAGAAAAATCAGAAAACGCGGGAGATTCAGAAATTTCAAAAAAATATAAAAATCAAAAAAATCAGAAAAGTCAGAAAATTTAGAAAAAACTAATTAAAAAAAAGAAAATTGAGAAAATTCTGAAAATTCAAATAAATCAGAAAATTTAGAAAAGTCAGAAAGTTGAGAGAATTCAGAAAATATAGAAATACAGAAAATTCAGAAAATTTGGAACATTAAGTAAACATACAAAAGAAAACAATTAGGAAATCAAATTGTTTCAAGTAAAGGCATCTTCCAAAGAAATCTCACATGCAGAAAAACAAATAACATTCCCTTGAACCTATAGACTATTCTTTGCAGAAATTACTGTTTGCAGGAACTATCCTGTTCTTGAACTATCCGTTGCAGGAACTATCCTTTGCAGGAACTATCTATTGTTACAAATGTTCCTTGCCAGCAATCATTTTTCATCTCTCATCGTCTGGATCCTGTAAGTTTTGAGCACCTTGTGCTTGCTCCCTTGTGTGAGCCAAAAAGTCACCACATCATTGCAGTACGCATAAGAGTCCCAATCGAAAAACGAATGAAAAACTTATTTCCAACTATTTTCAGATATTTTTGAAAAATATTCAACTATATTTGACTATATCTTCAATACCATGTAGTAAGTTCAAAAAGAAGTGGGGAACTTAACACAGAATAAATTTAAAAACCAATTTAAACAAGATATTAGTAGGATAATAGTAACTTATACGATACTTATTATCCTTGTTAAGAGCCTGAAGTGAAAATATCTAAAATGAGTGGCCTTAGTAGCAGTGGATTTAGAAGATCTCCGACTACCGGCCAGACTAAGGTTGTTTCAAACTGTCAATGCCAACTCTACATATTTCGCGGCCAAATAACCATATTTTGAATTGACTATTGGCGTGTTTCGGGGGTGGTTGAAACACCACGGCCTCCGAGCAGAATTAGCTGACGCCTTCTCTGATTTTTTGTTTCAACAATGGAAGCAACATCTTGACGAACTCGAATCGACCCCCCGATTGTCTGTTCATCTTGTTCAACATCTCCTTTACGTTCTCCCTCGGTTCGGTGATTCACCACAGTGACCATGAACAATTTCGCATCACCATTTTTGTACAAAGTTGTACTTTCAAGGTGCGTTGAACACGTGGTCTGACATAGATTTGTTTGAAAGACTTGTGCTGCCCAACAAGCTCAGTTTGCTATTTCTTCGGCGTTGCGGCCCTATTTTCTGAAGCGGTATCCATGGGGTTTCCGTTAATAAGCTGCTTTACCCTATGGTTTCGTTTTTCTGAAACGCAAAAAACAGTGGACCAAAGGTCTCACATTGACTGTCACATTGATCAATTATTTTCAGACATGCTCAAAGCAGTTAGCCGGGCCATGGATTCCATTGTGCAGCAGATGTGGCCACAGATCATAAGACAATTGAACACCCCGGCCATCTGGGCTCGCCTACATCGATATTTTGATGAAGTTTCCTCTGACATTACTCTGGTTTTGTAAATGATGACCTGGTTGGTTGTTTCAATTCTGTTCCTCAAGAAAAGATTATTGGACGCCGTCAATCAACTGGTTGACGCATGGACTGTTAATTTTTTTTATTTTTCTACTGTAATCCTCAGTCAGTTACTATAACCGTGGACATCAGTGCAAAAGGTGACCCGACTCAATCAACGTTTTCAGGATCGTATCGAAAATCTGCCTACAATCTCAAGAAATTTTATGTACGTGACATTTTTCCAGTAGTTCGGTCCAGCCTCTCCTCTCATATCTTCTCTGCCCTTGGATGCTTTTGGAAGCACATTCGTGGTCCGTCCCTTTCGACTCTCGATGAGACTATCGTGGAACGTGCATGGCAAGAGATGTATCTGGAAACCCTCAATCAAACCCGCTTCAGTTTTTTAATGTGTTTCATAGTTTTTTGGTATCCGATATGTTGACAACAGGTTCATTATTGTCACCGAGGAAGCAAAGCTCCACCCTGGATTTCTCGCGCTGTGTGACTTGGATTTTTACGGTCATCCTGTTGAACTTGAGGTCGTTGATGATGACTTACTTTTGGATTTTTCTGCTGCCGTGCGCCAAAGAACTGTTCAATATAGACAACCTGATTTAAAATTCGAGATTGCGTTTCCGCGGGCGCTGTCCGTCTCAAAATGATTTGGCTATTATATTGGCCGGGCTCACGAAATTGGAAAATACACCTACCCACGGGATGTGATTTCTGCAAGTTTTTTTGCGCTAGCGGATCTTTATGTACAGAAAGGTTTTGCTCGACAAGACGTTTTCTCCGCTCTCCGTATTTAAAACCTTCGGAAACACGGTTTGGCGAAAAAACGGCCTTCTTGTGTGGGGTCACATCCTGTTTCGAAGGGTTTTTGATGTAGCTGATAATTACCTTCCGAACGTGATTCATAGTAGCAGGGGTTGCCAGGGGATCGAGTGAAGCTGGCACCAATGAAGACCTTTACTCTTTCCTGTGATATGAACATCGGACGCCGTTTTCACGTACCTGCCAGCTAAGTTATGATCACCTGTTCTTCCTCGAGGCTGTTTCAGGTAAAACAGGGTCATCTGATTGTCAGTTTGCTGCAATGACGCGGGGCTAAGCCTAGAACCCCAAACATGAATTACATATATGTCATTTTACAGTTCATTTTTTTAAATCTGTGACTCAGTCACGCGGCGCAAGGCCTTTCTGGGATTTCACTTCCAGATGTCATAGAATTGACAAGAGAAACAAACGTGATCGATGAACCAACCAATCAGGACTCCATACCGCATGCGGTCTTTCAAGTGTGTGCATGTTGTGGGTTTGCATCCTTCGCATTTCAGCCGCCGGCCAGGGGGTAGCACAGCCATTCCTTGCATCATCCACCAAACGGCCAAGACGCATACCCTCAAGGACACTCGGTGATCACCTCACTGGCCACGCCTTGGAATCATTCCAAAATGTGCTGATTGCCTTCCTGATTTGAGAACTAGATGATAAGCTGCCCAGGTCCAAAATGATGTGTCTACATGCGTGTACATGTACAAATATTCTTCCTCACCTGCGAGGTGAGGGTCTCTAGATTCTAATGAAGATTTTTATGAACAGTGTGACTCCTGGCACTCTGGGCACGCACGGACCCGAAGCCCACAGGGAGCTCCGGCTCAGTCTGGGCATGGACCAGAACCGTACGGCGAGCTCCAAATCAGTCTGGGCACACACGGACCGAAACACCTGCCAGAAAGAATGTCCGAATACCTGCTAGATAAAACGCCAGAATGTTGCCTGACAGGATGCCAGAGAGAATGCCAGATTTTTTGCCAGGTAGAATGCTAGAATAGATGCCAAATAGAATGCCAGATAAGTAAAATGCCAGAATATCTGCCGGGAAGAATGCCAGGTAGAATGCCAGAATAGATGCCAGATAGGAGGCGAAAGGATGCCAGATAGAACGTTAGAATATTTATGCCAGATATAATTCCGGATGATATGCCAGACCGACTGCCACAGTATATGCCAGAAGATATGTCAGACGTATTGCCAGAATATGTTTTGCCACATATAAATTCCAGATGCTATGCCCAACAGATTGCCACAATATATGCCAGTATATATGTCAGATAGATGGTCAGAATATGTGATCCATATATAGATTCCTGATGATATGTCAGACACTGTCACAGTATATGCCAGAAGATACGTCAGATAGATTGTCAGAATATGTTTGCCATATATAGATTCCAGATGATATGCCAGACACTATGTCAGAATAATCTGTCAGACTGGGGGTCATTTGAAGTAAAGTTAATTTGTTTGTAAATTGTGTGTATTTGTGCTCCACGCCTGGGTTTAGCCACGTTTCTTTAGGGCTTTCGATTCTCATGGGTACCATCCATGACATGCAATTTAGGAGATGTTCAGTGCTGATTTGCATGCAATTGCAACTAGAGCAGGCACTTACTATAGAACTCAAGCAGAGGTATGGGTGTTCTATGGTGTTCTAGTTTACGAGAAGTGGTACTGATTTTCCTCGTCACCATCACTCATCATTCATGATTCGTCATTCATCATCATCGTTGGAGATGTTGCGTTGCCGACCATCCGCAGCCGAGGAGCAAGAAGCGAAGTGGGCACAAATTTGGAAAGACATGAATCCCAAGTGTCCCTTTGCCAGGAAATTCCAATAGGTTGTAAACCTGCATCGTGGACAATTAAACAGGTATATTCTTGCCATGTAAGGGAAAGTTCACGTCCCATCAAGTTTGCATCGCTTTAATTTAATAATATATATATATTTATATTTACATACATATATTTTTTTTTCACAGTACAGTATTCTATTACAGAAATGATTTATATATATATGTATATATATATTTAATACATGTTCACATTTATACATCTTTGATGCCATGGGTCACGCGACAAAATGGCACCGATATGGAATTGTCCGTGTTGGTGTTGAAAGGGGCTGACATGGGCCAAAAAATGGTTTCATTAGTGACAATCTGCAGGAACACCTTAGTCGTGAGATGCAGAATGCCCGCCGGTTCTGGACAAATGTTGAGAGACAAGCAAAACCAGTGGAATTTAATACTAAAATCCTTTGAGATGTATATTTGAAAGTACGTGGTTTGGGACGCATGTTTGAGTAAGCCTTGGTTGGGTGGTCAAAAGGCGCAAGGTTGCTTCAATTGGGGATATAATTCCGAGTCAATGTTTTGCGATGCATGTTGCAGGCAGAGCATCTAACATTCGCCATTATTACTGCCATCACATTGCTATCGGAGTGTCAGATAGTACATAGGTCGAAGTGTCAAGCCCAGTGGGCCGATCTGGACCATGGGGTTCCAAATTTTGGTCCGAACCCAAAGATGGAAACATGGTGATGTTGGATTTTCAAAGCTTTTGGAATTTTGGAGAGATGAATTCATTACAAGAAACGGGTCGTAACCATGAAAAATCTATGTGGGTTGCCTGGTTTGAACCAGCAGATGCTGTAAAGATAAAGATGGAGACCTCACCAATATAGGATGAACTACAAGGCTGTATCAGTAGCACTGCAAGATGATGTAGCACTTTAAAAAGATGGGAATTGGGAACATAGGGAAAATGAATGAAAATGGCAAGGGGTGGTTCTGACATGTTTTAACTCCGCATAGGTCTGACCTAGAATTTCAGACAGCAGGTGAACGATTATCATTTTTCTCCAGCCTAGTCGACCTTGCGACTTCCCGCCTCAGCACAATCTGAATCAAGATGGTCCATGGTGGATTTCTATCCCATCTCCTTTCATTAGCTACAGGATGCATATTGCAACATATCTCCTCGCGACGCTTAGCCGCGCCCTGGCAGTGCGTCCTTGGAATCCTGCCAGGTGAGTACAAACTTTGGAATGACACTGAGACCTGCCTGAAACTAACGGGAAGACCGTGGCCGCGAGTCACATGGTCACCGGGTGGTGCCCTGTGCCCTCCAGAAAGCAGGGAAAATTAGACTTCAGAGTGGAACCAGCCACATATAGATTAACAATGATTAATGATTAGCATGTGGCATGTCATAATTCCATATAATTAGTTCCTACAACGGCTGTTGTGGACGAGTAGCGTTCTTGGGTCCCTGTACATGTCTGCCCTTCTTGGCAGATGTTTGCATATCTACACCATTCCATCACTGGGACGTCCTCATGGGACGGCTGCGGACAGTCCCGAGAGGGAAGAGAGAGAAGAGATTAAGATTTGAAACTTTGGGCATGTACTCAAAAGACTGGAGTACATATTCCGTTGCGTTTCTTGCTTTTGTTTGGAAAGCTAATACCAGACGGGTGATTTCGGATGATGCTGGGTTGGGGCCTTTTGTTCAACCAAGATCAACCAAAACTTCCCGCAGATTGGTGTTTGATATGACTTCATGATCCCAAACCCCCAAACAACCAATGAACAAGTGGCCGAGGCTCGTTGGCACTTTTGGTTCCAGGATGTTCCAGGGAGAATTCAAAATGAGAACAGTGGGCACTAAGTGGAAACAGTCGTCGGTAGCTATTGCCCAAAATTGCATCCAAAAAAAGTGTATGTATCTACATTAATACATACCCATACGCGTGCATGAAGACATTGCGATATTCGGTCTACGTTTGCATAAGCTACTTGCCACATGATATTACCGCAAAACAGGTCCAATAAGGATGCATATGTATATATATATATGCATAGACATATAATATAGACATATTATTGGTTGCGATAAACATTGGCCACCATCAAATTGCAATCAATCTTTGGTGTCTGCCAAGAGGCACCAGAGCCTCAGGAGATTGCCGAGCTGGCGCAGAAGGCATCTCCCAAGATCATTTGGCCCATTTGGGAAGGCTGGAGACCCACCTGGATCACACCTGAGATGGCTGGGAAGTCTCCGAAGCCAAGGGGTATTTATGGTATTTTCGCATTGAGAAGAAAGAAAGGATGATATTCCAGAAATCCATGGAACTGATTTTAAGAGAGGAACTATAGTATGTTGTAGTGGGGCATGATCCGGGCATGGTCCGGGCATAGCGGGATGATTTGGCACACTTGACATGGACCATGCAGAGAAGTAGGGACTTAGAACGGGAACTCATGGGAAATTGGAGGGATCTATGAAGCGTGGTGCTTTTTGCCCAGGATCCCTGGGACAGATACTCCTCTGAAGGTAATGGAAAGAGAGCCAGAGAGAGAGAGAAAGAGAGAGAGAGACAGATGAAAAAACAGAAATCAATCTTCACTGCACCACTCGCAATCACAAAGTATCAAACAAGAATCTTGAAAATCATAACTTTATCAAGCCCTCAATATTCATGAATAATTTTCAAAAAAAAACATCCCATATGCTCCATGCATCTTATATTCAAATTCACCAACTTCTACCCCAGAATCACCCAAACGTAGGCAAATATACCGCATATGCAGCATATTGGCATATTATCATGTATTACTTGGTGGCTCACCACGGGAATCGTAAGTGGGCTATATTGCCACGTACCTGTGGACATTGCCCCCCACCACATTGAATTACCTGGTGGGAACTAAGCCACTTGCGATTCCTGGCTAGTTTACCACCAAGTAATGGTATTGGTGGTTGTTGGTGGTATTTGTCAATCCTAAATGAACCTTTAACATCCCACTATATATATATGTATAATATGTGTATATGTAAATATATACATATATTCCATCATTTCGATATTCATATCAGTGCATATCTCATCACACACACATGTATATATATATATATATATATGTTTATGTGTATGTATGTATCCTGAGAATTCATATAAATATACGTATATATATATATACAATTTATATCCTGAAGCTGTCATTGATATCCCAGTATGGTGAAAACCTGAGACATTCGTGGCGGTTAAACCAGGTTTGCAACCCGTTCAGCGCGCCGATGTCTTCCGCTATCTCGTCCTGTGGTACCAGGGTGGCTACTATGCTGACACCCGGCCGCACTCGCAAAGGGCTGGGATGGGTAAATGATAGTGACCTCACTGCGACCGAACCCTGGTGTCATGGTTTGATTGCGAGGAATCATCCCCAAATGGTTTTAATTTCATATTGACTATTATGATTTACCCCAATGCTTTGTAATTTGGATGTTTTTCTTTTTTGATTGGTATGTTCAGGTCAGAAACTCCGGGTTATTATTTGGGTGCTGCTGTATGCTGTTTTATCATATAGACATCCTCCCTTGGTATACTTACAAGTCCATATCTATGAAACCCTTTGGAAGTTTGATGCTGTATATTTATATATATATATATTATATATTGCACATATTTGCCACGCTGAATGATCACCAATGATCATGAATGATCATGAAAGATGATCCTGGAAACCCGCATGAACATCGTTATATATATATATACATATTTGTTTATTTAGAAAGATCGATCGAATCATATGGTGGGTGCAAGCGAGGCCAGGCTATTTGGGTATCGAAGATTGGCCATGATGAAATGGCGCATCAGTGGGCCACATATTTTGTCCCTTGCAACCTTCAGCTACCAAGCAGGCAACAGAAAGACACAGAAAGAAAATGGATGGTTTCAAACACTTAGGTTGTTGATGTTTTATCCTACTTCGGCTGATGATCCGACTTGACTGATAGTTGCGGGTGGGGTTGATTGAAACCAGCCAGCCAGAAGAAAAACATAACACTATATTTACACACACACATATATATATACATGTTTGTGTGTGCGTTCCCTAAAATAAATCAGAATATATATATATATAGAAACTGCCTGTTTTGAATAACCCATGCCTGTTTGATCTCCAAAGTTTTCCTCAGTCGCGTCTCATGGAGCTGGGAGGTTGCTCTTGGACGCTAGCCTCTGCATGAATCTGTATGTATTGTATCAAAAATGTAGGCGTTGGGTCCTGCAGATGTTGTTGTTGTTGTTGTTGCTGTTGATTGTTGCTTATTGTATGTTGCTTGTTGCGTGTTGCATGTTGCGTGTTGCTTGTTGTTGCTGCTGCTGCAGCTGCAGCTGCTGCTGCTTCTGCTGCTGCTGCTGCTGCTGGTGTTGTTGTTGTTGCTGTTGTTTTCCCAGCGTATGATTGAAACAATTATCCCATCGTTTATCCAATTTATTCCACTCAAGTCATTTTTGAAAAAATGATGTCACAGCCAAGGATGTGGATGTCGCATGTAAAAAGCCAGTCGATCAGTACAAACTTCCAGAGGTCCGGGACGCGTGTGCTTGTCGACCCCCGAGTTTGCTTTAGAGTATCATAGCACGTCAATTTCAACAAAACTCAAAACAAGTGATCACGGATATAACTCCTGGGGAAAGCTTGCGTGTCTACATCTTGACATGTATAGAATAATCATGACACACACACACGCATATATATATATATATAATATACACATGTGTGTGCGCGTGCATGTGTGCTGTGAAATGTTTACGTTTACACAACAAAAAGGAACGGCAACCACATGTAATAAAACCCGGCATGAAACCCAAGGGAGAATGTTCTCCGTTCGGATGGAACGGTGGCATTGGTTGGCATTAACAGGAACAGCCGAATGTGCAACACTTCAGCGCACGCCTTGACTACCACACGTTGCACTTGGTTGAATATCCTGAATGGGACACGTGCCCTCGAACATGGCTATCCTCTTGGATTCAACCATAGCAGCCAGGACAATCTTCCTCCGGAGGACGAGATTTGCCCCAGGGTTTCCCACATTGAATTTCCAAGTTGTTCCATTGTGATGCTTGCGGTGAACGCAGGCAACCAACATGATAGTTGGCTATGAATTCGGTCATCGCTTTCCTGAATGGCAGCGAGCTCAGCTCCTCAGCTCAATGGTTCGCTAAAACGTTCACCCCTTGAACCCGGAATGCCCTTTACGGAGGAATTGGACATTCCCGGGCAAATGTAGGTACCTGGCAGGTACCTGGCTGATTCTAAGATGGATACCTCCAAAAGAAAACAATAAAACGAAGCAATCACCATTGCCAAAACATCTTCAACGTAGCTGTTGCTTTCATCCAACACAGCCAACAGAACGTTATTAGATCCCCCACCACTCCATTTGATCCCATTTGTGTATTACATCGCAACATTAGTGGTTCCTGGTAGCTCCGGCCTGGCACCTATACTACATAATTAATTTTACAAAATATTATGTAGTTATATATTATATGTAGTTCATGTGTACTATATTTGCGTATAAAAATTTTTGAAGTTACAGTTTACACTCTTTAGAATGCATCTCACATGATGAGTGATTTTTGGGTGTCCTTTTTTGATGTATGGATGCTCTATGGGGTTGCACAGCCAAGTTTGATCTGGGAATCCGCAAGACGCATGGTTTTAAACGGTTTATGTGTTTGCCATTCATTGAGGATTGTTTCTCGCTATCCTGCTCATTAGTTACTTTTAAATGCCTATGATTGGGGGCTAAATCCCATGGATTTGTTTTTATCATTTTCCCTTGAACAGCGTTGTAACAAAACCAAGAAATCGAGATATCCCAAGGTATTTTTCAGAACCCCCCAGGGCTCCCCGTGGTTTATTGAGGTTATTAAGTGAACTCTATGCATTTTATGTTTTTCAACCACCAACCACCTATTGATCATGTGTTGATCATGTGAAAAACCCGTGCTTACAGAATCTCTCGGAACCGCCGTCACAGCTGTCAGGATCAAGTTTGCCCGCACCGAGCAGTTTCAGCAATGGTTCATCGCATCGGCTCCAGGCGAAGTGAATACGGGAAAAAAACATTAAAAAAAAAACACGGATGTTGGCGGTAAGGAACAAATGGACATGAACATCATCTACAAATCTTATTTATATGATTGTATGTATAATTTTATATGTAGATATGTATGTCTCTTTGCGAGCCCTCACATTCAAAACCAGCACTTCAGAACCAGGACCAAATAGTTGTGGACTGAAACCCACCGGTTGTCAAGTTGTACGTATGTTTCTTCCACACGATGTATATAACCACCTTTTCCACTATTGCGCACGCGTACGCGTATGCATGGTGATTTCGTCAGTGGTAAGGTGATGTTAAAGAATCTGTTGTGATCAGCGATCCACCTCCCGTACCTCTAAACATGTTGGCAACATGAAAGGAATTGGAGTGGGAAAACCATGGAAAACCAATGCCCATTAGCCAACAAGATGTGTCATGAGGTTGCCTGAAGCCATGGGTCAAAATGATCACCAAGAATTATGGCTAATTTGCCATAAGCATACGCACACAATTGCATACACAGGTGAAGCCTGAAGTTACTGTAGTATTTTCTTTGCATACTCCGTAATCCAATCATCAAACCTTGTACTTGTCATTCCATACTCCACCAGTGTGTGCTCACCACCAGTCTTAGTTTTAAGCTCTCTGCTTTAGTGATTTGTTTGGGGAAATTGGGAAACGACCCCCCCTTTCCTGTTCCGTTAAATCAATCCAGTGAGTTGTGAATTTCAGGGAAGCCTCGGACGATCCCATCGTCACAGATCGTCACAGATCGTCACAGATCGTCACAGATCGTCACAGGCAACCCGGTGCTCCTTCGCTGTTTGGAGCTGATCCGGCAACGCTACACCTGGAAGGTCGAGAGCACGTTGGAGTTGACGGGTGCCTCGCATCTTCAACGGGATCTGTGTGTGTTGCAACTATATGATCAACAAGATATGGTTATACCATTTTCATCCATTTTCAAGTTGGATGTAGCTATGGAGAATGGTCTCTTTAATGAATGGCTGATGGGTAGATCAAGGTGGTGCCCCCACTGGTTGGAGATGATAGGGTTGGAACCATAGAATGCGCCAAACCCAATGCCCCAAAACGCATCTGTATATTTTGAATTATTTTGATCCTTGTGCATCTAAATCTTATCTGATCCGTAAAACACCTGTTCAAGAAAGTATCGTGTTTGCCGCATGAACCCGGGGAATTTTTGGTGTCAAGAAGCAAGATTAGGGTGAGGTTACGACCGTATGGCCACCAACAAATTACAACACTGGAAATTTAGTCAACAAAAAAATCTAATAGATTCAAGCAGTGAAATGGGGATCCCCGAGTACAGCGACAATCATGGGTTTTTCTTACCCAATCACAGTGAGGAGTTTGGCAAACAAAAATGAAGATGCAGCAATGTTGACCATACCAAAATGGAATTGGACAACTGAAATTTGGATTGAACCAGCCAAAGCTTGGCAAGCGTGGCTTATGCGAATTGAAGAATCAAGAATGGGGAGTTTGGCAAGAATGGGTATTTAGTGAGCAACCATGGTGGTGCATGGGGGTATGTGGCGAACAGTGGGCCCATACATAAAATCATAAACCCAAATTACAAACACACGCGATCGGAAGCTGATGCTCATCTCATGAGCATGACTTTATTCCCAGTTTAGGCCCCAGACCATCCCCTTTCATATTCTCTGAGCTTCGCGTTGGTAAGTAGTTTGCAAAGGAATGTCTAAAATCAATTAAAATCAGATTTTACGCTATTTCATGCTATGTTTATTTTGGTTAATTATGGAGTTTGATCTGCTTGACCCTGCTAATTGAAGCTACTTCACCAACTGCATGACCTATTTATAAGGCCCCGGCGTCTTCAGCGACGCGGTCCACGAGTTTTTGGAAATGAAGAGTCCTCACGCTGTGGAGAACGAAGTCAAGGTCCGACGTCATCCCCCCGATGTGCACTTCTTGTCCTACCCCAGTTGCTGGGTTCCAATGGCGGCCAGGGCGCGGCGGTTTGGGGGCCATCAAAGCCAGACATGGTCAAAGAAGTTGGACTTTACCATGACAAAATGTGATTGATTGGCAGCTTCATTGGGATATAGTGGGGTATGGTGGGGCACACACACACATATATATATACATACATATACTGTATACATGTATACATATACACATGTATATATATATATATATATATACACATATATTTACATATATATATATATACATAAATACATATATACATATATACATATATACATGTATATATATACATATATTTGCATATATATATATTTATATATACATATATACATATATACATATATACATATATACATATATACATATAGGCATATATACATATATATATACATAATTTTGACATATGTAACCACATGTATCATGTAACTACACAGAATCAAACGTTGGGTTATGATCACATAGATTGGGGGATGTGATGCTTTCGCTAATGCCACCGTTGTTTCAACGGCAATTATCATGACTAAAATGCGATTTCCCAAATGATGGTGGTCCATAGCCTGTGCATTGACCATGGCACAAATGGCCATGAGAAACGTCGGCAAACCATGGCAAAACCACCTGTCCATCCTGAATTGGCCAGACGCAGATGAGAATGATATAGTGTTTCTTGTACAAGCCGGATGAAAATAGGTATCTTTCCATATTTGCATGTGGATAAAACATCATAGAACATGTTAAAAAAATATATCTAAACAAATGCGGTCATACAAAACTCGTTATGTCATTATGCTTTGCCATTGTTCTCTGAAGGCTGGCCGTGGTGTTTTTTCGGGGCAACCGCCTCCACCTAAGGCGAAAATCTCTTTGGCTACGGAGTCTCGGTTTGGCATTGGCGCCGAGCTGCTGAGTGATCGCCACTGATTGGTTTGGGTGCCGTGTAACGTAGCTATGCAAACCAGTTTACCTGCTTCAACTCTCCAATTTGTGGTATTGAACTATCTAGTTTTCATTACTTTTCTTTCCAAAAAGAACGGGACATATCAAAGAAATCCTTCCTAATATCTGAAGTACCACTCAAAAGAAAACCTCGTGAATGTATCAGACTTGTTCATGAATTGGGGTCCCAACTGGTCGGGATATCATGGATATTGTTTTTTTCTATGGGCGCTGGGGGGTATGGAGTCGGTTTGAACGCTGGAACCTGGAAGCCAGTAGGAACGCCAGAATCTTTGCCGTTGAACGAGTCGCGCTTCTTGATGGTTCCCTCCCAAGTCGATATGATAATTTTAGTCAGAACCGACTCATTTTTGTTTCTTACTGACGTCAACAAATCCCAACCTTTAAGTTCTTCTCCCCATGTTCGCCCTCTGGTATGCAATCAAACATGGTTTGTCGAAAAATCCATCCATTTACTTCGATGATTTTCCTTTAGTCAGGGGATTTAAGAGCTAGCCGCTAGCCATGTTTGATTACAGTACTCGAAAGTAGATTCCAAGATGTTTATCTTAAATCTGATTTGGCGGGATGACCCCAACTCACTTAGCCATGAAAAAACGCGTGATTAAGCCAGTATTCCCTCCATGATACCCCTGGAAAACCCCTTGAGTCTTGGAGTTTTACTCCCCATTTTTCTCCAATTTTCTTGTTGACATCCTCATCTTTCATGGTGAACCCCCACATGATTGAAAGCCTCTTGGGAACATGGATGACTGTCAACCGGAGATCCCAAAATACCCACTGAACAATCGCCATCTCTATGGGAAAATGATGGGAACATGATGATTGGCTTCAGCTCCCAAAGCCATTTTGTCATATGTTTCCATTGCCGAGGTCAGTGGAAGATGTGGGTCTTCGCGGCCGGCCGCGTGAACGCGGCACCAATGATCGCGGCGGACGATCCCACGGAGGTCGGGCATAGTAAGGTTTTTGTAGCATCTACCCTCTGGTAACTTAACATAGCTATTGAAAACGACCATAGAAATAGTGGATGTTCCCATTAAAAAATGGTGATTTTCCATAGTTATGTGAAAGTATATCTGCCATTCACATCCATTAACTATCTGGTTTTTGCCAGGTTTCATTGGTTTCCGGTCCCTTCTCTTCGCCAGTTTTTCATGGGAAAATATGGGGTGGAGATTTTCAGCGACTCAACGAAACGGCTTCGGATTTGTTGCTCCATGGTGATCAAACATGTGTGACTAATTATTTGTGAGCATCATGAACATTGATATGGATCATGATATGGTTTGCATGCTATTTGTACACTCTATGGTCTTAGATAATCCATTATATGATCATTTGTTATTAGTACACACCAAAATGGATGGCTTAACAGAACGTAGACCCATTTGATTGATACCATTGGTACCCCACGTTCGGCCCAAGCCTGTATTGGATGGGGAATTGACCCTATCCAAGGAACATGTGGCTTCTTAGCTCCCAAGATGGGGGTCTGTTTGTTTTAAGATGTTTTAGGTAGACATTGTGAAGATTTGAACTAAAACCCAATCATCTTGCTGGATTTTAAGGAAACACATCTTCTGGGAATCTTAAACACCAAAACGGAGCGCCAAAATTTATTCGCCTCCACTGAGTGCGCTGAGTGTGCTCTTCCGAGATGTCACCAATTAGAGGAAAAACACGTGGATACGGGCTGAATTGAAGAGTGTAAGCAGCTGGTAGAAAGGCACCTCCATGGGACAATCAGTGACAATCATTTTGGTAATTGTTTGATGTCATGGGAATGTAAAATATGTAAAGCATTGTAAAGCTACAATCTGTGAAAGTTCGAAAGCACCAAAACAAACCACCATGCCCTCGACACAAGTGCCACATGCAAATCTGGGATCCCAAAGGCAGATTTCACACAGAAAACACAACTTTTTGTGCGCCTTTTTATCGGGATATTTAGCTACGACCGACGTAGGCATTTCCAACACATTGAAGCAACACAATGATAAAATTAGACAAAATTATTATTTTTTACATACCCTCTGGTTATTTAACATAGCCATGGAAACCACGGAGATGGTTTACCTATTAATAGCATGGTGATTTTCCATGGCAAACTGTTAGTCATAACCAGATGGTAATATGAAGATGGGCATACTGCCAATCATGCCAGACCAGGGTATTCTGCGAAACTAATTGTGGTGAAAAAATAGTGCAACCAGCCACACTGGGAAGGAATGGGAATGTACCTCAACAACACACAACAATTTTGAAGATGGTAGCATGTAGACATATATATATAACACGTAAATGTGCGTATAAATATGTATACACTTATACACGTAGTGGATCATATGGGATAAAATTATGAATATGGACATACATATATATATATATATACAATATTATATATATATATATATATATTATACGAATAGGCGTATGTGTCAAACTTCCTGGATCTCCCAATCGATCGGGTCGTAGACAGAGGAGACCAGGGGGAACCAGGGGATCCCAGGAATCGGACTGGGGATTTTCCAGTGTTTCGCTGTGCAGGGTGTAGAGAACATGGTGGAGCACCATTTTGAAGGTTCCTGGAAGAAAGAGCCTTGGATGGCTGTCATCAAGGTTGGAAGATACGCTGACTTCAAGTCTCAAATCATGGGTTGCCTCAGAAATATGGTTACAAAATGCTACAGTCAGCGGCTATCTACTTGGTTAAGATCTACAGAAACGCAGAACCCGACACATCGATCACTTCAACAAGTATCTCAGCATGGTCTGGAGCCATTGGGCCCCAAGGTAACCATCAACTCACACCAGGGATTCGGTGCAAAATTTCGGCCACCGAAACGAGGGATGGGTCGGCGACGGTGTTAGATTTCTGAGGCCATATGCTGAAGCCAAGCCCTCCCTTGTTGTCGTTGTCGTCGTTGCACGGAAGATCAGTTGTTGCCAAACAAACATTGGCTGTTTCCGTAAATTGACCCTTATGTAAAGTAAATCGTTGCCCTCACTCGTGGGATTATGTTTTTTGTTTGGAGAAGTGGATTGCAAAACCCTGGAAAAGAAGCGGGGATAGCCTCTTGCAAAGCCATCAACAATCATCAATAGTCATCCAGTCCACAACCGCAACCACATCCACAACTATGACTGAGGACCAGGATATGGAAGATTCGCAGAAGAAACGCCAAGCGCTCGCGCAAGCAACAAAGGCGAAGCTTGGCTTGAATGGAAGGATTATTGTGGGGAATTTACAGGTAGAGCACCAACCAACCAAACAAACAAAGGCCATAGATGTTCCTCCCCAGCAGTTTCTTTCGGTAGCCGGGCTTGGTTTCTACACCGGTTTGCATTTTGCAAGACTTAGCACGGCTGATGCCACTGAATTTTGGCAGGCAGTTGATTGTTGGTTGACACCACCAGCCCCCAAATGTACAGTTTCGATCGGCTTGCGCATCATTTTAGGTCACCTAGGCTTGACCAGAAAAGTCCTGATAGTGGTAGAAGCCTAGCCGCAGCCTAGCCGCATTCCCCCCAAGTCACAGTTGTTTCTTTTTCAAATCATATTTGTTCCCCAAAACCAATAGGAAACCGGCAAGCCCATTGCGTTGTAAAGGCAAGGCAGGGCTGTCAGGGTCAAAAGTCATACCTCAGTTCAGAGTTGGATGATGATCAGCAGATAATCTGCTGATTCCTGGTATTGGTATAGGGTGCACCTCAGTTCAGAGTTGTCTTTTTCTTTAAGAACATCAGCATGATAATGCATGGTAGTAGGTTCCATTCATTCTTTCAATCATCGCCATGGCGCCCAGGACATAGGATGATCCTTGCCTGTGCTGAGCGGACTTTAAATCCCGCTCCAAGTCAGCCGACAGCTTGGTGATAGCATTTTCCTGAGCCATTGCTGGGTTCTGAATCTATTTCCTCTATGTGAAGATCATCTGAAGTGCGGGAGTTACTACGAAACAACATGCTCCTGTCCCGTCCTTGTCCTTGATATCACTCAAAGTTGTGATGTCCAATCCTCCACACAGATGGGGAAATATCAGGATCCTGATTTGGCAGTGAGATCGTTTCTATATATATATAGCTGGTCTCGGCACAACTGCATTGAGATTCCTGAGCGCAGCAGTATGCATTGATGATCGTTTCCTGCCGAAATTGCTCCGAGCCTCAAGCTGCTTTCCATTGGGTTGGTTCAAAAATCGGAGGTACCAGGCACCCCAAGCAGCCGTCATTATGACATTTTGCAGGCGTTTGCCGGACCTAGGTTCAGAATGCGGCATGATGATCCCAGATTGATCGATACTTGAATCACCAGGATTCAAGCCACCAAACGGAAGAATGCCATGTTTCTATTGAGACAGTGAATCTCCAGATGTCAATCCATTTTTTGGGTCTCCTGAAACATGAAGATCACTTGAATCGTTTTATGATGTTTTACATTGTTTTACATATATTTATATATACATGTTCATGCATATTCATATTTATTACATATGGATACATATATTGACACATGCTTAATATTTATACATCTATATTCTAAAATATGTTATTGAATGTAATCACATTTTTTTCCGTTCAATTCCCCTGTTTCGCCTCCAAAAAAAACATCGTTCACCTCAGGGCCCGAGGCGGCCCGCGAGCCTAGGCCTGCTGGGAGTTTTGTTTCGGAGTTTGGGTGGAAACTCACAGATTTCCAGTGTAACTTGAATGGATCTCATTGAATCTCATCGGTTTCCAGGATTGCACCAAGAAACTGATCGAATATGATCGAACCAGTCGAACCATGGAAATGTATCTGATGGTGACAAGTGTTTGATGTAGGGGATGTATACCTATAGCTGCACATATGTGGACTTAACCAACAAAGTCATGGTGGTGTTTTATTGGAATGCAATCGGCCGTCGGCCTTTCGGATTGGGGGCTTTTTTTTGGTTACCCTCTGGTAAACTAACGTAACTATAGAAAATCACCATTTTTAATGGGAAAACCCACTATAAATGGCCATTTTCAATAGCTATATGTTAGTCATAACCAGAGGGTACCACCTGTCACATCTTGTCACCTCAGCCATCGAGAATGATGGCTAGTACCTCAATGTTTGGGCGAAGAATTCGAACACGGTGCCACCACCCCACCATCATGGGTACCCAGTTATCCTGTTCTGATTGTTCTGTAGTTACCCTACGAAGAGGCGCATCCCTTAAATACGGTCTATTTCTGTTTTATCCTCTATGAATCATGGATGAATCATAGTAACTTGATGTAATTTGCAGAATGATGCTCATATATCAAATTACCAGCTTATCAGCAAATTACACATAATTATGGTCACCGACAGAATTATGGAAAAAAAAAAACGTTCAACTTAGACAGGCGGCGCCTGCGTCCGATTTTTCCATAATTAGGTTTTTCCCCATAAGGGTTCAAAATATCCCGGAAGTGATCCGAACCTTTTTTTTTCCATAATTCTTGGAGGTGGCCATTATTTCCATAATTGTTTTTTCCTGTAAAATCAGGGGGCTAGGGCAGATTGACCGGTTTTTCCATAATTATTTTTTTCCATAATTATTTTTTCCATATTTTTTTTTCCATAATTAATGTTTGGGGCTCCACCTGTTGGACATGTCATGGATCCACAATTCAAACCCCTTTTTTGGGGGGGTTATGGAAATATGTATGCAAATGCAAGTATGTAGTATCAACCCAATTGGTGGCTTGGCAAAAGGATACATCCCGCATATGTATGTACGTACAACAATGAGTTTTGGTGGTGCAATTGTTTTTCCTTTGTTGGTACCACTATGGAAGACTTAGGGGCATATACCAGATCTTTAGACACATATTTTCTATAATTCAATATTCCCCCTTAAAATGCATTCAAATTGCGAATCGATGGACATACAGTCACCGACAGAATTATGGAAACAAAATAATTATGGAAAAAAAAAAGGTTCGTAACTTTTCTATCATAGACAGGCGGCGCCTGTAAATTGAAACGTTTTTTTTTTCCATAATTCTGTCGGTGACTGTACTTCTGATAGATTAATTTGCTGATTAATTTGATGTATACTCATATTCGATTATCAGCTTGCCACAGCTCTGACACCTCTCCACTTACTGATGCCATTTTCGCTGCTGAAGTGATCTATTTGATGGGCCTTAGCATCCCAGGTGCCCCCAAGATAGTCAAGTTGGATATCCATAGATATCTATAGTTACTTACAGCTGGGCACCATTATAACTGGTGGGGGCACAAAAAATCCCAGTTGCCACAAGCGTGTCAGTTGCAACCCACGCTTGGCCTTTACAGTAGTCTGCGTCGCAGATGGCTCCATGTAGAGATACATTTCGATCCTGTGTTTTCCAACTTGCTTGCCTTGAACCTATTTCTCCAGAACATACCCTCTTGACACACCTCTGCATCCCGCAACATCAGTTGATCTTGAAGTATTCAACGTATTTCAGTATCATTGGCACCAAGAGTTGCATACCATAATGTGGTAAACCCAGCCATCAACTTCCAGTTGGGAAAGATCTATATAATTATTCTTACTGGCCTGTCGTCCGTGATGATATTGTTAAACCTATGTAAATACTTGTCCCGTACACGACTCAATAATTACCCAATATATTCCAATACAAATATAATATTAGCTCAGCTCTATTTATAATACTATGATGCCATCAATTGCCATACTACCTGTGGCATATGGTTTTTCGGGACATACATATGCTATCCAACACACATACATCTTTTGTCACCCACACATCATGGGGTATTATTTGTCTCTTTGTTCATTGCTCACAGTAGTTGCATCAGCGCAATGCGGCCGACGCTGCGGAAGGCCAACGGGAAAGGTAACCTTTGGGAACTCACAATGTGTGGGAAAAATCATCGTGATATAGCATACTACCCCACAAACATCGAAAAGTTGTGAATTCGCTTGCCAACAAAAAAAGAGATAAACAGATAAACATAGACAACTATTTTTTTTGTTGAGGGGCGAGGGGGGTCTCACATGTCGGGAGCCGAATTTGTTGCATAATTTTGGGGTCATTTGAAGCCATTGATTCTTTGTTTCAAGCGATTCCATGATTCTATTGAATGATGTCATCTCCTGGTCCCCCTTTCTGTGAAGTCAAGGCCATTTGGCAACAGCTAAAACGGATACATTCCAAGAGTTGAAAGATCCGCAGAACCATGAGGAAGAAGAGGGGCATCCAACTTTCAGTATCAGAATTGGGGCTGACCACATATTCTGATGCATTGAATTATCATTGCAAATTGCCTTGAGTGTCTACGTTTGAATGGGATGATACGTTCCAAAGTGGAACGCCAAGAGACCCCCGACCATTTGTCAATTCTCAATCACCGGCTTTGGAGCAATTCTTGTTGGAGGCATTTCGGATTTGGTGGTTCCCAAGAAAATCCAACATGATTCCCATTAAAACCGCTTAGTTTGGCTTTAAATTGAAAATATCTCAGATCTCCCTATTAAATCCTCAGGTTTCCACAGCAAATCCCAAGCTCACAGCTGCTGGTTTCGAAATCAACAACAAATTACCTACACACCTATGTAAGCAGTCCCAAAACCAATCCAATAAAATTACAAGATGGCAGCAAAACCCATTTAAACAATAATCTATCAGAATGAATAAACAAACACTATTTGCTCTGAAGCCATGGCAATTCCACTATTTGGTCTGTTATTTTAGGCAAACCAAAAGCAAACACCATAACAATCCCAAAATTCCCGAAAAATACCAGAAAAATCCCACATATGGGCCAACCGGGAACAGACCCTATTAAGCCAACAGAGAAGCCACCATAAAAAATCCACAAAAACCAACAAAATTCCATTAAAGTCCAATAAAAATCAAATAAATGGGTCGACCAGAATCAAACACCGCAAAAATCCCATAAAAGTCCCACAAAAATCTCAAACAATTGGGAAAGGTTGCCAGAGCACAGATTTGTTTTTGTTCCCGTTGAACAGTGTTTACACAAACATATATATATATATATGTAGTTCTGCTTTTTTTTCCAGCATTGCTTTCCAAAAACTTCAAATTGACAATCAAAAACATGAATTATCATAAATTGCCTATTGAATCGAAGGCCACATATTCCTACACATCATCACACTGTGCCACAAGCCCACCATTTTTTTCCAAGCACAGCATCAGCATCAGCAGCAATGTTTTTTTGTAGCTACATCCTCAAACTGATTGTTTGGTATTTACAATTGGTGGTCCAGCCCCATTGGTAAGGCAGACTATGGGTACCTGGATTACCCAAACAATTTCCCTGAAGTGTCCCAAAGAAATTCCTTGGGGTTGCATAGGGATTATGGATTTTTCAAGGTTTGCTCTGGAGTGGAATGACAACAAGAAAGCCCTCAAGAAGTATCCCCCAAAAACATCCAAAAACCTGCTAATTATAGAAATTCTACCCAGGGGACCCCTCCAGTTCAATGGATATATCTGCCACGGAAATCGTTACATGTTCATGTTACATGGATGTGCATGGAGTGTCCATGGCCATGCGCTCCCTTCAACGAACATAGAATACACCGACCCTGCCTAGATTCGGATTTGGAAAACTAACACTCTCTATAGGTTGCGGTTTGTAGTTGTTCATCGGATAGTGGGTTGTTGTGCCATGATGCAGGGTTCGTTATTTCATGGGTTATACTAGTTATACTGTTTTCTTTGGGGCGGAGTATTGTACAGCGACCCCCAGTCATGGTTGCTACACACCGATCGCCAGCCCAGGCTGCGTCAACGCGTGGCTGGGACCGCTTGCCACGTGCGGTGCAGGTACGAGATGCCACTTTTTTTCATGCCCACAACTAACCATGGGGATATATGGAGATATGATAGGACACAGTCGGATAGATTTCCTCTTCCTAGGGGTATTTTGATCAGCCTTAGCTGAGAGGGGTGTGTTGATGATTTGATGTACAAAGAGGGGTTTGTTCCATGTTTCACACATAGTACGCCAAACCATCCAAACTGGCCCCTTGTTGTTCCCAAAAGATCAAAAGGACATCATTGGTTTGGAAGATGCTTGCAGGATCACCTTTCGAAGGAATTTACAGGGCTTTCTTCATATGTGGCAATGCATCAATTTGGCTATTCTTGACCATCCGGAAAATTCTATCCTATCAACATTCTGCAGGAAATATAGAAGTATGTAGATCGATAATGAGAGAGATATATATATATACATATATATATATATGTATATAGACAGATATAGAAAAATGGTAAATATGATATAGATCGATGTAGATAGATATAGATAGATGTACATAGTAGATAGATAGAGATAGACAGATGGAGATAAATAGATATAGATCGATGTAGATAGATATAGATACACACACGCACACACACACAGATATATATATATATATGTTGATAAACATGTATTTTCCATAATTCTTTTTCATTCACTTCCAACTGGACCTGGTCGACCTTCCACCCTTCGAGCTCCAGGTGACGGATGTTTCCCCCCGGGACGGTCTTCAAAATGAAGCTGCTGGGGGACCCAAACTCGGGGGGGATGAACATGTGGCTTGGAATTCGCTGAATTTGCTAAAAAATTGGCTCCTTTTGTTCAAAATTTCGATTGAAGCATGCTGGAAACACCGTCGATTTTGAACCCGGGGAGACCCCCCCAATGACAGGTCCTTGTCCTTGTCTGCTTTGAAAAGCCCCCAATCTTCGCACGATTGCAGAAGCACATTTTAGCACAATGTCCAAGATAGAAAAGAACATCCGATTTGCAACAGAGTTTCTACCCAAGTGTGGATCGATGTTTTAAGATGTTGCCATTCAAGATGCTCAATTTGAGCCTCTGCGCCAATTTGGGAAATAGCTGTTCCATTGATGAATCGTCAAGTCCGGCAAGAATCGCTTCTCCATCCAACCACCTAGCCGTAAGATTCGTCAGCAGACTGTCAGACCCCGACATTCACCAAGTCCCTCTACCGTTGGACCCTAGCGCCCACGAATATGCTCGGCTCGGTCCTGAAATTTAGGAGGTAAGATTGGATGAAATACTACCAGACTAAATATAGAGACTATTATGATAAATCCTATATTTGCAGATTATCATATACACTGACTTGTTGATCATGTGTTCATAGATTAAACTCTAGGGACTTGGATGTTGTTGGCCAGTTGGTACGTAGATCTCTTGTGATCTTCACGTCCCGGGTGCCATGGTGCGCATGATCCAACTCCCTTGCGCCCCTGTACGAGTCTTGCGCCGCGTCATGCGACAAATCGCTCCCCTGCGATGGGCGGCGGTGGCTTGGACGTCGACCACTGGGCTGGAAACCTCCAGAACGATATAGAACGATCCAGAAAAATCCCACTAAAACTTAACGTACTAATACGTACTAAACATTTGCCAAAAATCGCAGTAAGTTGGAGGATTTAATAAATCAAGCAGTTATTTGCTGTTCCAAGCGCTAGATCCTGCAATTAGGGCATTGGCCGCTGTAAAAATTGGAATGTTAGTGGGAAAAAAAGGCAAGACCTTGAAGTTATCCAGTGAATCAGTGAAAGATCTGAATGTGGGTGTGGCCCATTGGCCATTGGCACATTTGGCATTCAGAAGCACAGTTGCTTGATGTTGCTTGAGAAGTTCCACTGCATAAAGCGTTCACTGTTGCAAGTTAAGCAGATTGATCAATTCTTCAGCAAGGAACTTAACTTCCAAGAAAGCGCTTTAGGAGGCAAAAGGTACTGCTTGGGTAGCATATTTTCACTTTGGGGGTGCCACTACCGTGAATATGACTTTGGTTGAGGATTGGTGAGGTACACATGGTAGTAGTACCTGAGTTTAAAATAGTTTAAAGAGCAAGTTCTAGAGTGGTTTATCTGGTTTATCATTGGAACATGGGTAGGAAACACCCCATTTTTTCTAGGATTTGCCCATGGGTGAATACCCCAAGAAGTCCAGTAAGCCTACTTTTATGGGATCACCGTGGGCAAAACCATAACCGACTCGGATGATCCTCCATGGTCTCCAGCCAGCAAGCCATGAGCCCATGAAGTACCACATGGTAATGGTCAAGGCGATGCCGACAAACCCAGTAGCGAATCAAGTTTCTTCTCCGACATTCTGAAAATTTGTAAGTCATATTTATAAATCTAAAGGAACCATAGAGAATCACACGCATGCACATACACACAGATAGATAAATAGATAGAATAGAATGATGGATAGATCGATGGATAGATAGACAATGATCGATAGACAGATAGATGGATATACGCACAATCTAGCCATTCCCCAGCGTCACCAACGTCCCTGCAGCGTTTGAGGCGCGGCTGCCACCGGCCTCAGCGGACGATGGGACGGCCTTGGGCCTTCAATGCGTCGGCGTCGCGCGCGGTGCGCCGGGGAAGGTCCAGGCCTTTGGGCGTTTGGAGGCGCTGATGGATGTCAGGGACCACGAAGGTATCAGGTGGGGCTCGGGTGGTTTTTGGCAGCGGCTGAATTGGCTGAAGTTTGGGGCTAAGGAGATCAAAGGAGATCAAGTGTATCAAGTGTTTAAAAATGGAGTTGCTGGTTGGTGGTTTGGAACATTGGGATTATTTTTCCATATATTGGGAATGTCATCATCCCAACTGTTACTCACTCCATCATTTTTCAGAGGGTTGATTGGCTGATGCAAACGTGGGGGGTGCCATGTCTCTATGGCACTGGGAAATTCACGGCTGAAACCAGGGAAACTGTCCGGGTCGCAGGAGTCAAACAACTTGGCCATGTCGTTAGGCTGCTGGGAGCCCCACTCGACACGGGCGATGGCAGGCCAGCCAACAGAATGGAGTTTGCAGCCACGCTGAGAACCTTGAAATTTGAGAAAATCAGTGCAAGAAGACGGAAGATGACCAAGGTTTTCACATACACACATGCATTTTCCTGCACACACCCAGATATGTGTATATATAATATACTCGTAATATGTATGGATATGTATTTACACACACTTACAATACACTTACATATGTGTATATATATGTATGTATGTATGTATGTATGTAATGTAATGTAATGTAATGTAATGTAATGTAATGTAAAGTAATGTAATGTAATGTACTGTACTGTACTGTAATGTAATGTAATGTAATGTAATGTAATGTATGTATGTATGTATGTATGTAATGTATGTAATGTTGTAATGTATGTATGTATGTAATGTATGTAATGTATGTAAGGTATGTAAGGTATGTATGGTATGTAATGTAAGTGTAATGTATGTAATGTAGTATGTAATGTATGTAATGTATGTATGTATGTATGTATGTAATGTATGTAATGTATGTATGTATGTATGTATGTATGTATGTATGTATGTATGTATGTATGTATGTAGTATGTATGTATGTAGTATGTAAATGGTAATGTAATGTAATGTATGTATGTATGTAATGTAATGTAGTAATGTAATATGTATGTATGGTAATGTATGTATGTATGTATGTATGTATGTATGTATGTATGTATGTATGTATGTATGTATGTATGTATGTATGTATGTATGTATGTATGTATGTATGTATGTATGTATGTTATGTAGGTAATGTAGTAAGTATCATGTATGTAATGTATGGTAATGTATGTAATGTATGTAATGTATGTATGTATGTATGTATGTATGTATGTATGTATGTATGTATGTATGTATGTTATCTTGATAGGTGCTTGATACTAGCTATAAGATAGGTACGCTACACTTGGTACGCTTGGTGCGCTTGGTACGGTACGCTTGGTGCGCTTGGTACGCTTGGTACGCTTTGGGTAGGTACGCTTGGTGCGCTTAGTAAGGTACGTTTGGTACGCTTACCAACCGTACCGACCGTACCAACCGTACCAGTGAACCGTACATAACCGTACCACCGTACCGTACCAGATTAAGGGGGGGGTCAAGGGGGGGGCGTTTTGGATGTACCAATACTAAAGTAGTATTGTACATCCAAAACGCCCCCCCCTTGACCCCTCCCTTAATCTGGTACGGTACGGTGGTACGGTTATGTACGGTTCACTGGTACGGTCGGTACGGTTGGTAAGCGTACCAAACGTACCTTACTAAGCGTACCAACCGTACCAACCGTACCGTACCACATGTACCAACCGTACCGTACCAAGAAAACCAAACCTACCAGCCGTACGTACCAGAGATGTTTGGATCTTACTTAAGGCCTCTACCACCTATCTTGAACCTAGCTAATATGTATGTATGTATGTATGTATGTATGTATGTATGTATGTATGTATGTATGTATGTATGTATGTATTAATGTATGTAATGTATGTAATGTATGTAATGTATGTAATGTATGTAATGTATGTAATGTATGTAATGTATGTAATGTAATGTAATGAAATGTAATGAAATGTAATGTTATGTAATGTTATGTATGTATGTATGTTGAGATTGGCCATGGAACCTGGCCACTCCATTCAATTTCTGCGCGTAGTCTTTTGCTCAGGCAACCGGTTGAACTTCCCGAGTGTCACCCCATGTGGCTAGACGTGAGATGCGGGGGGTGGCCAACCACGTTAAGATCTCGGGTGATAGCTCAGATAGTCACTGGTTCGCTGATGGTGTGATTGTATGATGATATATGAAGTATATAGTTGCGTGTGTGTGTGTGTGCGTGCATGTGAGCGGGGAGCTAAATGATCGTCATGTAAATTGAGACCCTTCACGGTCACTGCAGATGTATATTATATATCAGATAATTGCTACTGATTAATTCTACCTGTGTAGGACTTAGTAGATGGTCTTTTGCATCGATGATCCACAGCAATCGGCTACTCCTTGGAGCCGTGACGACCTCCACGACCCGACCTGATCCAAGAAGAAAAGTCGTCAAGTGAAGCAACAGACGTGGGAAATTCACACATATTTCTAGATATATATGATACTGGTTGGTGGTTTGGAACATTTTTTATTTTCCACAATATATGGAATACTAATCCCAACTGACTAATATTTTTGAAAGGAGTTGAAACCACAAACCAGGATATGATTATGATTTGATATGATATGGAATCTGACCACCCGATTCTATCCCTTGATTTCCCCACCAAACATCATGCCTTTGAATGACGCAAAGGGTCAGGACGTCCCAGATTGAGACAACATCAAGATGGACAGCCCACCGTTTGCAGATCATGTTCCTGCTAGTAGGGACACCCATAGACCGGATCTCCATTATTTGTTTTAGCTCACCAGTGGGTGAACATGAACCACACTAGAACCCCCATTGCCGTAACGAAGAAATCCTTTTTGAGGCCGTTGTTTTGAATCCACATTTCTGTAGTCAGCGTTTGTCAGATGTTTCGCTACTGTTACATTTTTACATATTCGTGCACAGATTTAATGACTGCAGAAAGACATATGTTTTTTCATCACTGACTTCTTATATTGTTTCATTCATTTTTAGCCAGATGTTAATTCCGACTAAATGTGATAAATCAAAAAATCCCCATTGAATTCCCATCCTCCCTCCTTCATTTTCCTCATCTTCCCAGGCTCTCCTCATCCTTGCAACGTCTCGGCCGACACTTGCACCAGCTGCTGCTTCGTCATGTTGCTCGAAGGGGCTGGAGCCTGGGAGCCTGGGATCCGCGGAAAACATGACGTTTGTTTGGTCCAACAGGTACGCTGGGAAATCTCTTGACCTGGAGTTTTTTTTCTTCGGCTTAGTGAGAAACCATAAGAGAACATCATCTATAAATGCGGGATTTTTGTTGCCATGTTTGATTTCCGATGATTACAGGGGGTAGCTGAACATGTGTCGATGAATAAATCTTGCCTATTTGTTGCTCTTACCAGATCTGGCCACTATATGCACCTTGATCCTCAAAAGACCCATGAAAACAGGTTTAAGTATGCAGCAGTAAGAAATTGCACAAGTAGAATACCTGACATACCCATGCTTGTTGCTGGTAGGTCGGCAGTTTATTATTTTTGAAGTCTTTTCCTTAAACAATGATCCCCCATCAGCCACTGTACGTAGTTTCGAGGTGCTGAAACCACCTTTGAACCAGGGATGACCCTCCATCGCTCCTTGATGTCATGAGGATTCAACCACAACTCCCAGGATCTATTAAGGGCTGATTAACGACCAACAGCTAAGCAGCTAATGGCGCATCTTCATAAATCTTACCCGTGGATTGGGAGGTCACCGGTGGTTTCCCGCGTTGAATCCTGATAGGAGCCTCGATGGCGAATGGTCCCACGAGTTGTTATTGAACCTCTACAGCCAGAGTTCTCATGGAGCAGCGCCCCTTGCGCCGAAGCTGTACGTGCACAAAGATTTGTCTGCCTTGACGCTTCTGTCTCTTGTATCTTTGCGGGGAGTGTTTGACAATATGTTTACCCTACTGAAATGAACCAAAAAAGATTGGAAAAAACATACTATTTGAGATTAGTTGTTTTTTCTTGATGTGGGGGTGTTCCTTGCTAAATTTGAAGGATGTGTTTGTTTGTGTGGGTTCCTGCTCTTTCTATCCAGAGGCATGCACGGACAGGGGCTCGAACTGGGGGGCTGCAAAGAATACTACTGTGACCTTATCACCTACCAACGCACTTAAACAACAATCAACTATGAAAATTACAAACAGCGCAACAGAGAAATGAACACACACACACACATGCACGTACACACACATAAACAAAATAAGCAAAACACATAAATAAATTGGCGAATGTATAATTAAATATCGATAAATAAGGTAGTTAATTAAACAATTTGAATAAATAAATAGAGACATAAATAAAGAAATGAATATAATATGCAATATCATAATCTATATTACCATATATCATATATATATATATATTTGTATATGTATATACTTGTGCATATATATAATATATAATTATAATATAATATATACTTATATATTGGGGGGGCCCTAACACAACTAATGAAGGCCCTTCTTTACGACTTACACGCTAAGGTTCCAGCACATTTTTTCCACAGTCCACCCGCTCCCCCAGACGTACGTTTTCCACAATTTTTTTCTTGAAAAGCAATGTTTTCCACACCATTTTGCTCTTGAAAAGCAAGGTTTTCCACACCATTTTGCCCTTGAAAAGCAATGTTTTCCACACCGTTTTGCCCTTGAAAAGCAATGTTTTCCACACCGTTTTGCCCTTGAAAAGCAGTGTTTTCCACACCGTTTTGTCCTTGAAAAGCAAGGTTTTTCACACCATTTTGCCCTTGAAAAGCAATGTTTTCCACACCATTTTGCCCTTGAAAAGCAATGTTTTCCACACCGTTTTGCGCTTGAAAAGCAATGTTTTCCACACCGTTTTGCCCTTGAAAAGCACTGTTTTCCACACCGTTTTGCCCTTGAAAAGCAATGTTTTCCACAACGTTTGCCCTTCAAAAGCAATGTTTTCCACACCATTTTGCCCTTGAAAAGCAAGGTTTTCCACACCGTTTTGCCCTTGAAAAAGCAATGTCACACCATCTTCCCTTTCAAACACCAAGTTTTCCACACCATTTTTCTTTTCAAAAGCAATGCTTTCCACATCATTTTCCGTTCAAAAACCATGTTTTCCACATCATTTTGCCTTCCAAAAGCAATGTTTTCCACACTCGCGGAAACTTTTGCGGAAACTTTTGCGGAAACTTGTGCGGAAACTTTTGCGGAAACTTTTGCGGAAACTTTTGCGGAAACTTTTGCGGAAACTTGCGCGGAAACTTGCGCGGAAACTTTTGCGGAAACTTTTGTGGAAACTTTTGCGGAAACTTTTGCGGAAACTTTTGCGCGGAAACTTTTGTGGAAACTTTTGCGGAAACTTTTGCGGAAACTTTTGCGGAAACTTTTGCGGAAACTTGTGCGGAAACTTGTGCGGAAACTTGTGCGGAAACTTTTGCGGAAACTTTTGCGGAAACATTGCGGAAACTTTGCGGAAACATGGTTGGAACAGTGTGGAAACCTATGAAATTAGTTGTTGATTTTCAGTTAACTCTTTACGGAGCCATTTTTTCCACATGTTTTCCACAGTCAAAGGGCTTAATTTTCCACAATCGAAAGCTTATTTTTCCACAATTAAGAGCCCGATTTTCCAAGAGCCCGATTGTCCACAATTAAGAGCCCGATTTTCCACAATTACTGTAAGAGCCCGATTTTCCACAATCAAGAGCCCGATTTTCCACAAGTAAGAACCTAATTTTCAACAATGAAGAGCTTGGTTTTCCACAATGGAGAATTTGATTTTCCACAATGAAAGCCTAATTACACAATGTAGGTTTACTTTTTCCAGTATGGTTTCCAGTTGTTTCTTAAAATTCAATTTGTCCACAAGCTACGGAAGTTCTGCTGTTTCTACACGCTTCAACGGTTTTCCAATCCCAAAATCAGATCATTGTTTGTCCATTCCCAGTGGCCAATGGCGCTTTTGTGGAAACTTGACCCTTTAAGTACGAAAACAATCTCTTTTTAAAATTGAAAAATCGACACAAAAAGTGGAAAATGAACCCTCGTAACGTGGAAAATGGACCCCTTAAAGTGTGAAAACAAGCGCTTTTAAATGTGAAAAATCGGCCCTGGAAATGTGAAAATGAATCCTGGAATTAACCTTTGAAATGTGGAAAATCTGGCCTCGGAAATCGGAAATGTGCAAAATGAACCCGGGAATTGTGGAAAATGAACCTTTGAAATGTGGAAAATGGACCCCTTAAAGTGTGGAAAAATCGCTTTTTAAACGTGGAAACTGGGCCTTGGAAATGTGGAAACTGAACCTTTGAAATGTGGAAAATGGACCCCTTAAAGTGTGGAAAAATTGCCTTTAAAACGTGGAAACTCGGCCTTGGAAATGTGGAAAATGAACTTTTGAAATGTGGAAAATGAACCTTTGAAATGTGGAAAATAGACCCCTTAAAGTGTGGAAAAATCGTTTTTTTAACGTGGAAACTCGGCCTTGGAAATGTGGAAAATGAACCTTTGAAATGTGGAAAATGGACCCCTTAAAGTGTGGAAAAATTGCCTTTTAAACGTGGAAACTCGGCCTTGGAAATGTGGAAAATGAACCCTTGAAATGTGGAAAAAACGTCGCGAAACACGTTTTAGGAGCTGTAAAGAATAGTTGTCCAGAGGCCCCCCCAACTTATATACTTATATTATATATATATATATTACATATACAGATAGAGAGAGAGAGAGAGAGTACCGCAATTATAGATACACCTGCGCTTATCAAATGAGTATGTACGATGAGGCCTTGTGGCACATCGTAGGGGCCGATGATCTCCGCAACTTGTGAGCCTGAAGAAATGGAAGACTTTTCTGCAGGATTGGCGACACTTTATAGCAACCCGCAATAGATAGAAAAGGAAATCATTACTATTTCAATAGGATGTTTTATCTTTTTGGGGTTGCTATGATTGTTTGCTGCTTTGTGTTGATCATAAACAATTATATAACTAGATTATCTCAGACTGAGCACCTTCCAATCCTCCAACATCCATGTATAGTACTCGTGTACTCGTACGTTTGGTATGCACAGACTGAATAGGAGGTTTCCTAAAATGGGGGTGCCCTCAAATCATCAAAAGTTATATAAGTCGTTTCAAAGTTTTGAAACCCATGGTTGACTTTGGGATCCCCTGTTTTAAGAAACCTCAAAATTGGTAATGTTCAGCATGTTTAATAGTAAAATCAATGACCATGAACATCACCAGTTTAAATTTAGATAAATTTAGATAAGCCCAGAAGTGTTACCTCCTGACCATGGCTCAACGGCTCCCCCAGGTTGGTGCCTTCGCATGGTGGTGGCCAACTCTATGTGAACGAGCATCCCCTACGATTCCCCTCCAAGGAGCGGGGCGTATACCGGGTATACCTCCCAAATTAGCATGTTAACAGGGAAACTGATGATTATCCAGTGGATTTGGGAGTTCCCTATTTTCAGACAATACGAATGACACCTCCGCAAAGGAGAAGGCGAAAAAAAGTGATTGGCAGTGGTTGCTGCAACTATAGCCGCCCAGACAGCAAGTGTCTTGCTTTGCTTCGAGTTTTGTGATTCCCCCATTTGTTTGCTAGAATTGGTTTACATAAGGGAACATCCGCCAGAAAATCTACTTTTTGTTGGGTAAATCAAATCCATGGTTTCTGAGTTTTCTGGTTCAATTTTCCCTGAAAATCCATTGATTTTCCAGGACACCGGCGCCTTGCTGTTTGGCACCCGTTTCTCAGAGGCCTTTCCCGCTGCCCCTTGCCACGCTGCGACGCCGCACCGCGTCGTGGCACGGACGTCCGGGTCAACACGGCCGCGGCTGAGCGTTGCCTTCTTCTTGGCGCGGGAAAAGGTGAGCGAACGGACCTCCATGGGCCCATTGGATCTTTACTAATATGTACTGGTTGGTGGTTTGGAACATTTTTTTTTTCCATATATTGGGACTAATGATCCCAACTGACTAATATTTTTCAGAGGTGTTGAAACCACCAACCAGTGTAATTATACTAAAAGGTGTACGCCGCATCGAAGGTTGCTCCTTAAACTTGGCCCCTCTTAACCCCCTCAATGTTTTCCCAATAAGAACATTACATTAATTTGGATGACTACTTAACTTGGAGACCCCGAAAAAAGTATAAAGACAAAATGACGCGCTTTTTGACCGTTTCGATTTTTCTGTGGGTTGCTAAAACCCGCAAAGACGCATAATAAAGATAAACCGGGATATGTAAAATATATTGAAGCATCCGATTTGGTGGGTTAAAAAGCTGTGCCCTTTTGGTTCACAGCAACATACCTTGCAAACAGATGTTCATCGCCCCATGATCCCCACATCATCCCCATACACTGTAAAACCCATGTACTAACCATAAATAGCCCCATTGGATCCCATTGGATCCATACAAGGTGAGCCCCACCAGTTAGTTGGCAACCTCACCTTGTAGGAATATATGATATATAATATATATATATAACATAGATATCAAGTGAAGTTGGTTAGCTGTGTAATGTTTCCATCACATATCCTCATCATATTGAATGATATCCTCATGATATTTTACTAAATCTCCATTAAACCCCCATTAAATCACCATTAAATCCCATTAAATCCCATTGAACCCCATTGAACCCCATGAAATCACCATTAATCAACCCCCATCGAATTCCCATAGTTTTATTTCCACCGGTTTTGGTCAGACTGTGAGGTCTTTGTTAGCAGCTCTGCAAAGCTGGAGCTGATCCGACGCCTCCGCGGGGCGGGCGTGAGACACTTGGCTTTACCAAGATCGGTGCCCATTTTTGGGGGGCTTTTCGGCTAGCCTTAATGTGGGTAAAACAATGTCATAAACCACCCACTTGGGAATGGTAAACATACCACCTATTTATGGTGATGACTGGGGGATGGTTTATGATTGTTTTACCCACATTACAGAACAGAGCCGTTTCTACAGTGGAAACTAATCTTCCAACCCCCTATTTGCCTCTGTGTGAACTGGGTGGATGGTTTTGCCACGGGGAATTCATAGGGGAAATGGTGGGATATTCATGAGGATGATGTCTTCCCACCATGCTGGTTCCCCCAGACCCTGAAAACTAGTATGGAACCGCAACAAGACTGTCCAAGAAACTCATAATATGGTGTATGTATATATATATATATATGTGTGTGTGTGTCTGTGTGTGCATGCGCATATTACAGACATATTGAACCCAAAGTTGGGTTCCATGTTACATGTCGGGGGTGTAAATGATTACTCCTGGTTAAATCCCCCACCTGGTTTTGATCCGCTTCAGTTGGAAAACCTGGAATTTTCCGCAGCGTCTTCACCGGCTCAACTGTTCGCACTGAACGCACATCTTTCCGATCATTGCGCAGCATGCTGGACCTGCTCACCATCTTCTCAGCCACGGGGCTCCAGCAAGAGTTGGAGGCAGCCAAAGGAGAGAAGAGTTTGATGATGCGCCAGGCACGGGGTCCAGGATTTGTGGTTCCGATTTTGTCTTGTCAAAATGAATCAAGATGAAACGATTTATCGAATTCTGGGCCTTGGATATTTTGAAGTAGAATTATAGTCAAGTGATGTCAAGTGATATGATGTATATATATCATCATCCAATTGGGGAGTACCCATGTTTGACCCGTACTAATGTAACCCGACTTTGTTTGGTGGATTATTTGTGACAGCCTGTGACAGCCTGTGACAGCCATGTGTGAAGGTGATGCTTGATAGTGTTATGGTGAGACATGTGCCAATCCTGTGTGGTGAAGACATATAACATGAATTGGCAGATCTTGTATGATATTGGTACCAGGTGGTGCCCTCTGGAAATGGGTTCCTTTAAAATTCCAGCAACCATATAGTTAAAAAAAATCTAAAGTAACTATTTCATTTTATTTCTAGACCAACACAACTATTTCACAGCACGTTGAAGGTATGATAATCGATCGTATGGTTACTATGCAACAAGGTTGAGTTGAACGTACCCATCACTACTTTGAAAGCCTGATATTAGCCTGCTCGAAATATAGATTCCGCAAACTCAAGATTTAAAATCCATTGGCAAATATTGGTTTCCGCAAACCTTATTCTGTCTCACATCAGCCATAAAACCCATCCAATTTTCTCCATGTTTTTTGGATCGATTTGACCCTGGTGAGCATCAAAATCCATCCGTGAGGACTTGGAGCACACCTTTCTGGAGAGCGCGGCCGACTGCGTGTCACGTGCGCTGCAAGTGGTGGATGGTGCCATGGCGCAAGGTTTCTTGGCCTCGGGGGCCTCGGGTCGCTGTAGAACATCCACCCGTCTTTTTACGAAGTAAACAGAGGTTTACATGTTATATAAATGTTATATAAATGTTATATAAATGTTATATAAATGTTATATAAATGTTATATGTTATATAAATGAACCATTAATGTTATAACAATTTTCCGCTTCGCTATTGCAAACTATTGTTGAGACTTTCTGCCCAGCCTGCTGAGGTGCTGGATAAATTTGATTAATTTCTGAAATATTTCTGAAATATTTCTGACTAGAATTTCTGAAAAATTTCTGAAATTCGTCAAAATTCGAGAAAAGCAACACAAAAAGTTTGAAAATAGCAGCAGAACTGCCAAAAGTAATGAAAAACTAGCTGAAAACTTTGAAAACAGCAGCAAAACAGCTAGTTTCCTTCATTTTTGAATGGTTGGCAGCAGAAAATTTCTGGATTCATAAATTTTTCGGAAATATTTCAGAAAAATTTCAGAAATTTCTGAAAATTTTCTGAAAAATTTCTGAAAAAAATCTGAAATTCGTCAAAATTCGAGAAAAGCAACGCAAAAAGTTTGAAAATAGCAGCAAAACAGCTTGAAAACAGCAGCAAAACAGCTAGTTTCCTTCATTTTTGAATGGTTGGCAGCAGAAAATTTCTGGATGCATAATTTTTCAGATTTTTTTCAGAAAAAAATAAGAAATTTCTGAAAAAAATCTGAAAATTTTCTGAAAAAAATCTGAAAAATTTCTGAAAAAAATCTGAAAAATTTCTGAAATTCGTCAAAATTCGAGAAAAGCAACGCAAAAAGTTTGAAAATAGCAGCAAAACGGCTAGTTTCCTTCATTTTTGAATGGTTGGCAGCAGAAAATCTCTGGATTCAGAAATATTTCAGAAATTTGATTCAGAAAATTTTCAGAAAAAAATCAAAACCTTGATTTATAGAACCTTACTAGACTGGAAACTCTCAAAACTATTGTAAAATTACCCTGGAAGGTAACTGCTTTGTGGAGTCACGCTAGCTGTTTGGTGGAGATGACGGAAGGATCTAATAATATGGTCACTAATTGGAACATGTCCATAATGCCTTTCCAATTGATGATGTAGGGATGCATCAGTTGTTTTGTTACTACAACTGATGTTGAGATGGATTTTAGTGAGGTTGCGAGCCTCGATGAATTTCATGGTTTCAATGCCGGACACAACCGACATATCAATGGTCCAACATATCATTTCGAGATATTTTGGCAATTTACCATGAACATCTATGAGCCAGATCTATTTGTCTATGATATTGATTGCATCTTGACACGCTGGTTTCAACGTCACCATGGCTGTATGAGAATTCCTCTGGTCAGATGGCATCATAGATTTCGGATCCATGCTCCAGACATCCAGCAGTAAATCCACATAACAAGTCAAGCGCGGCAACTCGAGATCCTTAAAATATGTTAAAATCAATTGTTGAAACAGTATAGTAGATCATTTTCAAATATACATCATGGTATTTATATATATAATGATGTATTTATATATATAATATAGTAATTATATATATGCATAGTATTTATATATAATATGCATTCGTATCTATATATATATATATATGTATTATACTGTATATGTATTATATATATATACATTATTTTTGGCATATGCACATACCTATAAAAAGTAGGGCCAGCAGCCAGCCGAAAAAAAATGGAAGAGGTGTGGATGCTCTCCTTGGTTCTGAGACCGCCGAAAAAGCGCCAACGGTGGAGCCAAAGAAAGTGTGATGCCATGGCGGCTGACGTTGGCTCCAAGCGACTGACGACTGGAACATGAATTTTCATAGTAGGGAAGACATTGACTTAGAGATTTAATCTAATGTTGCGTCCTGATTAGTGTGCGGCCCCCCCCCCTCAAACAATACCTATACCCTCTTTAAAGTTGAGCGCCAAAAAAAAATCCCAGGAAAAAAAAAAAAACAATCCGCACGTAAGTAAGGATTTCAATTGGCTACAATTGAAATCTATTTAAAACTGTTTTTTTGCCGATGAACTTGTAGTACTTGTAGTACTTGTAGTACTTGTAGTACTTGTAGTACTTGTAGTACTTGTAGTACGTGGGGTTCAGCATGTTGATTGCGTTACCTTTTCCTCCCTTAAGTTCTTTTCTTAATGAACCATGCAATAAGAGAAAGAGAAAGAGAAAGAAAAGAGAAAGAGAACGAGATTCTTTAATAAAGGTTTAATAAGCAGTCTGATTCTTTTGGGAAAGGTTTGGACTTTGAATTTGGTAATTGCTTGTGGAAAAGGCCTACCTCTCTTCTCTTGGCTCCAGGATCAGCTCTTGAAAAGTTTGCTGCAATTGTAAACCCTGAGAACAAACCTACTAAAGTGAATTGGACCCTCTCATGGCCCAGTGCCTTGGAAATTTGTGGAAAAACTGTTCTTCAATAAGGGTTTAATAAGCGGTCTGATTCTTTTGGGACAGGGGGAAAAGCAATATGTTTTCAGACAAAAAATGTTCACATTTCTTTACACAACCATTTTTTTGGACCAACAAAATTGCCCCCCCAAGATTTCTTGCCACGATAGTGACCCTACATAGGTTCAGAATAATTTGGAAATTTCTTGCCACAAGAGCGAAACTAGCCACTAATCAGGATACAACATTATCTGGGATATAGTCACATTACATAGTATAAGGGAAAATTCAATGAATTGGTTTTAAGGGAAATCTACAGGAAAATCACCATATGTCATAGGACCATAGGAAAAAAAGGGACCATGTACAGGAAACCCTTATAATTGATGGGAACAAATTGTTCGTCACCCATTTTTGATGCTTATCCCATATGTTCCCCAGCAAAATGAACTTACCAGGTACTGACCACTTCCATCTTTTTCTACCCATATATGGGTGGTTTGATATTGAACCTCCATATTTGATGCTTCAACCATCTAATGGTTCAACAACCATCCAATCTAAATCCATGGTAGATGATCGAACCATCTAATCTGCTTGGTGGTTTCAAATATGTTTCATTTTTCCATTTCATATATGGGATAATCCTTTCATTGACGAACTCATATTTTTCAAGATGGGTAAAAGCATGTAAAAGCACCAACCAGTAATGTTATTGAAGTATTTAGATAGTTCAATATATGTTCAATACTTGATAAATATATATATATATAGAAACCATCTAATGTTATTGAACATAATATCCATGGTTTCTACCGTATTTTGATAGTTCAATCACTTCAATCACCTGGATGTCACCTCTGGAGCCCGTCATCGAGCTGGAGCAGCTTGCCGCGACATGCGTTTATGGCTGGATGGTTTGCAAATCAGGTGTTGGATCGGTTTATTGACGAAACACACATATATATATATATAACACGTATGTAGAATAATTTCAATTACTGCATAACCTCTGAACCATTTATATACTATATAAGAAATTCTCCAAGATCCAGAATGCTCCCTAACTAAGTTGATCCCGGAACCATTTAGTATCGGTAGTGAGTCAAGTGAACTGGGCACCCTTTCCCCCAAAACAACTACCGGAACCTTACTGGAATGTTTTGAATTTGATCATAGGAGTCCCCAAAAAAATGTTGCTTCATTCTTAGCGTGGATGATATTGCTGCCAATTTAATCTCATGTGCAGAGCCCTGAATAATCCAATGATCATATGATCATCAGCAGCCATCATCAACACATCACTATGTGGAGACTTTCAGCGATAACAAACCAGAAATTTGACCAACAACACTTAGAATGTGACTGCTCAAACATATGGATGCAACAAACATGAGGATTTGATCACCGAAGATGGGATTTGACCGACTCCTGTCAGTGGTTGTTCAGATGGGAGGTCACCAGAAAAAAACAAACGGACATGTCAGGCATTTCTGGCAGCTTCGGGCGTTCCATCAATTTTGTTATAGGATGTTATAGGTGTTTTCTAGCCAGTTGAATGTTTTTCTTGTATCGGAAAAAAAACACGTTATTCGTTTGGATTGCCATGCCTCGGTTTTGAGTGCTTGAGATACCCAGCACGCTGCTCCATCATCTTCCGACCTGCACGTAGCATCAGCAAAGTTGAAGCGCAAAACCTGCTGTGGGGGTCCAACCTTCTGGGATCTGATTGTGTAGTGAAGTCTTGGGTCAAAATCAGCCGACAAAAATGCTGGTGGTTAAAGGGGTTGGAAAAAGCACCCATGCCCAACTCAGAAATCATGTTCCTCCAACTTTTGTTGGTTTGATCCTGATGAAGCTGACTGATGATCAGTCAGCGCTCAAAGGCGCTGAAAATCATGACCTTTTAAGCCATCCTGATCATCAATATGTAACTATATGTAACTTGCAAACCTAAAAAGTTGTTCTGGCGCATAGCGCAACGCATTTCACTCAAATGAGCAGTGTTCAGAACCATGCTGGTTGATGATTATGGGGTGTTAGACTACCCCAAATCTACCCAATTATTATTGTTTTGGACATTATCACAATCTACCCAAATCTACCAGTGTTGATTGATGATTATGTTGGAAATGATCACAATCTATGAGCTGGAAACGGGGATTTTGCAGCAAGGCTATATCACGTCAAGCTTAGGACGTCCTCGCTTTCCAGGCTCAGATTTGGAAATGCCTCTGTTCTTTAGGAAATACCCATTGTCAGCGAGGAAACATCCACATTTTTGATTATGTATAATATATAGCAACCCCAGAAAAGATAGAACAGTAAAGTCCTACTAAAATAATGATGAATGGGGGTTCTATCTTTTTGGCGGTGACTATAACGGACTGGACTTTCTCTTTTTGCGGTGGTTGCATGCGTTACACGCAGTTGTTGTGACATGTTGGGTGGTTTCATCTCTCTCTGTCACATGTGTATATATATATATATGTACATATATACATATACATATATATATATACACATTTGTATTATATATCTATATATATATATATTAAACACTATATTATTATTATTGTTATATATATATATACACATATTATACACTATATTATTATTATTACTATATATATATATATTCTATTTGCATATATGATGACCAAAACATGCAGCAAGCAACCCATTCAGCAATCAAAACTATTCAAAACAACATCAATCCTAATCAAAACACATTCAAAATCATTCAAGATTCAAAGCCGTTCAAAACTATTCAGAAGCATCCAAAACCATCAAATCCTCGATATTTACAGAGGGTTCCCAATCCCCCCAAAAGTTCTAAAAAAGTCCCAGTTCTTTATTTTGGAGGCGTTGCATCCCTTCTTTTTCTGTGCGCCATGGCATGGGCGGCACTGGTGCGACCGCATGGCGGCCCACTCCCAGAGTACTTCAGGGGGGTGTCCTGTTAATTGCTGGTTTATGGTAGGTACCCTCTAGTAATTTAACATAGCTATTGAAAATGACCATTTATAGTGGATTTTCCCATTAAAAAACGGTGATTTTCCATAGCTATGTTAAATTACCAGGGGGTATATTTGTAGATCATGAGGTTTATAAGGCAACTTCGAACTGGGGGAGCAGCACATGGGTCGATGGGTCAATCGTTTAGGCTCTTGGGACCGCAGATTTATATTCATGAAGGTTCCCAGAGTGGATGAGAGTAGGACTTTGATCGTTAGTCCGATTCCGAGATGATTTCTGTACGAAGTAGGAGGCTATGATCACAGACCACCAGCCAGATTTTACACATTGTGGTTCTTCATCATGTATTCGTGCATGTATGTTTGTATTGTAAGCATAAACATGAATAAACATGTAGAATATGTGTATATACATGCAGATATATATATATGTATGTTTGTTCGATCTATCTATATGTCTCCCTACCTATCAATCTATCAATCTATGAATCTATCAATCTGTCAACCAGTTCATCAATATATCTATGTTTTGTTTTCTATCTATCCATCTACCTATCTACCTATCTATCTGTCTATCTACCTAATCTACTATTCTACTAATCTACTAAGCTACTAATCTACTAATCTACTAATCTACTAATCTACTAATCTACTAATCTATCTATCTATCTATCTATCTATCTATCTATCTATGTATCTATCTATCTATCTACCTATCTATCTATCTATCTATCTATCTATCTATCTATCTATCTATCTATCTATCTTATCTATCTTATCTATCTTATCTATCTTATCTATCTTATCTATCTTGTCTATCTTATCTATCTTATATATCTACCTAATCTATCTATCTATCTATCTATTTATCTATCTATCTATCTATCTAAATCTAATCTAATCTAATCTAATCTAATCTATTCTATCTATCTATCTATCTATCCATCTATCTACCTATCTATCTATCTACCTATCTATCTATCTATTTATCTATCTATCTATCTATCTATCTTTCTTTCTATCTATCTATCTCTGTCTGTCTGTCTGTCTGTCTGTCTGTTTGTCTGTCTGTCTGTCTGTCTGTCTGTCTGTCTGTCTCATCTATCTATCTATCTATCTATTTGTCTGTCTATCTACCTTATCTATCTATCTATCTATCTATCTATCTAATGGCTCATGGCAGTGCAGATCCCTTATCAACAGGGTTGCTCCAACCCAACATAGGCAATATGGATTTAAAATGTTTTAAATCCCACTCAGTATGTCATATTAGATCACCTTCAATGGTTCAATCACCATTTTTTGATGACAAATTTGCCCAGAGAAATTTGTTCTCCTCCAGGTCGCCCTGGCATAAACAGCAACCATTTGGGGGTTGTTTATACTAC